TAAATTCAATATAACAAAGATAAATACTGCTTCAAAAGAAATAAAATCCCCAATGCTACAAACAAGCCAGTGTTCACTGACAAAAGAATCGATACCTCAAAAATAACCATTAAAACAGATGCCACTATGATCCCCACAAGAATCGATACCACCATACAATGAACCCCCCATAAGTATCCGCCGCGCGAGTCAACCAACCGTGCACACAACCGGCTCATTCATCGCGCGCGGCTGTTAACCGGTGCACCTTGTATTTTGAACTCGGTGAAGAGAAGTATTTTTAACACGTACGCCGTATTATTTTTAAACTTGTACGCTAAGACGGTCCTTTAATTAGCTTAACTATGTATCAAATTAATTTACGTACAGCTAAAAATAAAAATGTGTAGGTATTTCACAGCCGTACCTAGACGAGTAGGTTATGAGCTATTGAGTTCAGCTTACAAAAATAAAAAAAGAAGGTAAGTAAAAATCTTTAATCAACACGAAACAAATAAAAAGTCTTCTCTTCAATCAGACGAAATAGCGAGTCTAAATTTAGCCTCACGCGAAATATTGAACCAAGCACGTCACACGCACAATAGAAAAAAAAATCTTACGAGATAACGGCTAACATTAAAAAAAAAAACGACAAAGTGTTTTTTGAGAAGAAAAACAGCGAAACCTGACAAAAAGTTTCAACATTTGACAACACACTGGTGTTGGGCTATGTCCACAAATCGCCACTGATTTATGGCATGGAAGTTGATGAATGCTGGGAGAGAATGGCCAATGTGGAGAGAGGAGAAAAACACCATGCACTACAAACACCATACAGCACAAACACCATACAGTACACAAACCAGGATTCGTTACTGAAAAGGATATATGTAATGAGACACAGATATCGTAATTAGATATTTTACAAAATCAGCTTCAAAACCTATTATAAAACTTGCTGTGGAGTTGGGTTTTTTAAAGCCAGTTTTTCGTATAGTTAAAAAATCACCACTTCATCTTTTCCCGTTCGTGACCTAGACAAATGAGAAAGATGAAGTAAAGTTTCAATAACCTCAGCATACAGAGAAGACAGTGTGATCAGCACTATGGCCTTAGGGTCCCAAATGAAAATGAGATACCCATCAGAGTTGGGTGGACTCCAATAGACTCGTGCCCGGGACATGAACTCAAGACTTACGAGTTAGCAGGAGTAAGCTCTACCACTCAACCACGCCGCCCCTAATTAAATAATACGAAAGCATAAAATCGGGTAATAAACTCTTGTTCAAAATAAACATGCTGAAACGGTAAGGTGTATAATTTCAAAACCACCAAGAGACGGCTGTTATCAGTAGCCCGCCAATTTCAATCGCGCCCAAATCGTTAAAAAAAATACCCTTAAGCTTTCTTTCTTAAAGTTTGAAGTATTGACAACGAAAAAAACTATTTTTGAAAGTTACCACCCAGTTAAAAATCACTGCGGTTTGTACAAATATTTGTTATCTTCAGATTACAGCCTAATGGCACTTTTAAAAACTGTAAAAAAAAAATTATATTTCCTCGTCCGATAAAATTATTAAGAATTGTAATATATAGTCATATGGTACCTGACAATGAATAGTACATTGTTTTCGGTCGATCAAAGGTTCGGTTACTTACATGCCTCGGTCACACACTGTAACCGATCTAAGAAGGACCAGCTGAAAAATAGCCTCGACAAAATATTTATAACCGCGCCGAGTTTCTATACAAAAAATATAGGCATTCATAAAGAGTTAAATGATAAGTATATTTAGGCAACGGGTTTGAGTATGGTCGATATACGTTCACGTCGCCTGGCAAGTCAACGAGTGCACAAGTTAAACTATTTCGTTTTTTTTTTTAAATATTTATAGCAACAGAACAGCTGTTGTAAATCGTTTATCCCATTATTTGGGGGCCGTCCATAAATTACATCACACTCTTAGGAAGGAAGGGGTTTCGGACTTGGTTACGATGTATAACCCGGGCGTATCCAAGAAATGTGTCAAACTTTTAACAATTTGCTTTTCGAGAAAACGTATATATATTTTTTTTTTTCAAATGTCAACAATGTACCTGGTATTGGCATAGTTCCGTTAATATTTGAGAAAACTATTGTCGTCAGTGTTTCTTTCAGCTATCTCTTGAAAGAAACCCTGATCGCTGTACCAAAAACTGCTGTATTGTGGAAGTTTAAATAAAACATCATTGTAAGGGGCAGGGGTGACACTTGTGAATAGTTTTTTTTATGAACCACTTCCCTTTTTCTTCCATGTGTCTAGCCACCACATGTGTGATAACATAACCTGTCACATCCAGTGTGATATTTTATTGGCAGCCCTAGGTCACGTGTTGATTGGACAATGCCTTATCTCCAACTAAGGCAGCTGTGCCCGTGCTCTATAATTGGCGCTTTAATGATGTAATTAGGCAAGAAGATAACAATCCTCAGGTGGGAACCAACAACCAGCATGCCATAACATTAGCGGCTGGTTAAATTTTAAAAAATCAGACGGCTAATGGTAGCTAGGGTGGAAGATGACAGTTGGGCGCCGTTAACAATTGATGATGACCTTTCTGTTTCGGCTAATGATGTGCTCGTTGCACAGTTACCGGCCGTGATAACGTCAGTGAACTTTGACCTATTTAAAAAAAACTAGCAGACGACCAATTTTTTTAACGTCAACTTCCGGTCCCCAACACAACCATACAACACCGACATTATATTTATAGCAGACAGACGATACAGGAATAGTGTATGCATAGATATAGTGCACACATGTACAGTTTAAAATGTATACAGCTGATTAATATAATCAGTAGTAAAACATTAGAGCCCTACCCACTTCCAATAAAATCAAACAAATAACAGAAGCAATCACTGATATTTAAATAAGAAGATGACCCAACACAGACTTCTAATATTCTTTATAACAATGTATTAAAATATTACAATATTTATAGACTTTTGACGAAACATGATTTAAAAGTTTTAGACATTAATATCTAGTGCTTCAAGCTTGTAATCAGCTGATTTTAAATGTATTCTTCTGTACATTACTAATAGTGGTGGTGGATTATGTAGCTTATGAACTACTTCTAACTGACTCATGTTGTGGATTTGAATATTTTCTTTTTTTAAACCTCTGACATTATTATAAGCCAGTTAGTCCATCCAGCAATGTAAAGTGTAAAGACAGCTGGTCACATTCTTTCAAATGTAACTACCATACCACATTTCTTATTCAGTTATTGTCTGTCTATAATGAAAGAAAGGTAGAAAAGAGTTTACTCAAATTAATGAAAGCATAGAGGCAGCAGTCTACAACACAATCAATAAAGATCTGCCATTTTGCAATAGTGATTTGCTTACTATTATTGATTAAGCTTAATGAATTGCTGTATGAACATGAGATTTTTATCTAGATTTTTAAAAAATATCTAGATTCTACTTACTCAAGTTACTCATTCCTAAGCTCAGCCACTAGAAACTATGATTCTAATTAATCCAAACTAGAGGTTCTAGTCTAGATTAAACTATTATAATGCATTCTAAATTCACAATAGATCTAGACTCAACATCAGCATATGTTGACTTAATAAATAAAAGTGTGGAGTGTAGTTAAGTGTTGTGTAGTTCCTACTCACAACAAGTCTAGTTAACTCAAGTAGCTCTACTCTTCTTAAAAATATATAAACTACAACTAGGTCTAGATCCTGTCTATGTAAAAGACACCAAAGTGTAGTATACTAACTACTCACTTCCATTTCTTACAACTAGAATCTAGATCTAAATCTTCAACTACATAGAGGCTAGATCTAGAATCTATACAAAACCATATGAACACTTTTAAGTTTAAACTACTAGATCTAGAATCTATATCTGGGCTGATCTAGGCTTAATTTTAATGTCACTCTTAGTCACATAGTGAGTATATAGAATTATAGATCTAGATCTAGTCCTATACTATAGAGTCTGAGTATAGATAGGCCCCTAGACAACGTCCTAAAGTAAAGCCCTAGAGTATAGATCAAGAAACTAACTTAAACTTAAAATCTAAATCTAGTCTAGCTACGCCTAAGCAGTAAATCTAGAGATCTAGTCTAGTAAAAGTCCATTCTAGATGTAAGCCTCGTTAGAATGTAGATCTAGGCCTACAATAAAATTATAAACTAGTCTAGATCTATTATAAACTACACCACACTTGACTACACATGTGTAATTTAATCATATTAGCCTAATGTGTAGTAATTTCGATTAGCCTATACCCCCTATAGGCCTAGATCTAACTAATTTTTAATTATCAGGCTAATTAATTTTAATTAGGGGCCTAGGCCCTAGTCCGCTAGTATTACTATTAGTATTAGTTTAGTAGGCCTAAATTAATTACTAGTCTATTAGGGCCTAGGCCTAACTAATTTTGTAATTTAGAATCTAGGCTCAAGCTCTAACTCAAGATTCTAGATTTCTAAAGTCTAGAGTCTAGGGCAGTCTAGAGTCTAGGCCTATACACTATAGAATTCTAGATTCTATAGATCTAGAATCTAGAATAGATAATAGATCTAGATTCTAGGTCCTAGATCTAGATCTAGATCTTAGAAGATCCAAGTGTCTAAGAGTAGGCCGCATGCTAACAAAACAATAAAACATTAGGCATTATTGAATTATTCATTAATTTATTGCTAACAAAAATTTAAAAAATAAAAAATAATTAAATAGGCTAAAAAAAAAATTCGGCTGAAACTGAAACTAAAATTAAGAGTTTCAACTTGATTTTAAAAAAGCATATAAAAGATGCACTTACTTATGTACTTAATGCAAAGCAGCTGAAGAAGGAATTCCTAGCGATGCGTCGATATGTTAAAATTCCCAGTCACTGTGTTGTGGCTCTTCAAGATTTTGTGTCAACTACATTCTTGACAAACAAACACAAAAGGTATGGGAGCTCTTTAACCCGACACCGCCAGGTAACCGGATGTGACAAAGGCGACTTCCTGGATGCAACAAGATGGCGGTAAACGCGAAGTTTTGACATGTCTAAACCTATGCATAATTTTTACTCTGCTTAGTGTACGAAGGAGTGAATTCTAAAATGGACAACAGTACGTTACAAGTGTAACATTTTGCGATTAATTTCTGATTTTACATATTTTTGTTCTTTTTAAAATTGGAAGATAAGAATAAATCATATAAAATATAAAAAATAGGAAGGCAACATTCAACATTATTTACAATCCTGAGCCTGAATAAATTCTGAATACATTCATTTGAAGTTGAACATAAAAAACATAAACAATATTAAACAATAAACATTTTGTTATGAATACCAAAGTTACTAATGCTGCTGTCTGTTACTGACTACTGTTGTTAGTTGTGCTAGTTGTAGATGTAGAATGTAATGTAGATCTAGTAGAAATCTAGTTGCTAGCCGACTAGATCTACTAGAAAATGTAGATATCTAGATTCTAGTTACTACTAGTCTCTATCTCACTTTCCTTTAAATACTAACTAGTCTCAACCAACTTAAGTGTTGGAAGTTTTAACTTCTCTTTTACTATCCTGCATGTGAATACTGATGCTTAACATTTTAACCGGTCTACTAACAAAATTGCTTCTTCCTCAATGTCTTTTATTTTTAAAGTTTTATCATCAGAATCTTTTTTTTTACAGTCTGGCAGAGTCCCTATGTGAATGTTTTTAAACATTTCAATTTGGTGGCATGGAAGAAAGCTGCAAAAGAGGGAGATGTTGCTTCATCAATGGTTATATTTTGATTTTCTTAGATAATTGTGTTTCATAATGTCTTATACTTAAATTATTCTATTGCTTTGAGTTTATAACTTTTTCATAAGATTTCATATAAATCTTACAATATTTTTAGGACAAAATTGTCAAAGGCACAGTCTACCGTATCACAGGTAGTGTTCCTGCAGGAAATTTCATTCAGCTCCCAAAGACGAATACACAGTCTCTAGGATTGACAGGCCGCTATTTCTACTTGTTGTTCAGACCAATGCCTTCCAAGCACTTTGTTGTTCATATTGATGTAGCTACGGCTGACAATCTTGTGATCCGCATATCATTTTCAAATTTATTCAAATCATTCAAGTCTACTTCAACATGGCTTCAGTTTCCATTCATTTCCTGTCCTTTTGGTAGTTCACTTCCATCTTATGCTGTCGATGCAAAGCGAGGTAAAAGTTTACACATTATATTTACTTTATTTTTCCATTTTTATCATACAGCTGTTATTGTTACTAAAAAAGATACTAAAAAATCACAAAATAGTTTTTATATCTATTATTTCAGATCACAGTGGGCCAGCTCCTATGGTAACAAGATGGACAATATTGTGCCTGGACCTACAACACATCTTGTCTAACTATCTGAACAGAAAGTTTTTGTATGTGAAGTCCTTTAAATTGTGTGCCAACATGATTGTTAAGAATGTTTTCACCAGTGACCAGCTCTATGACCCTGGTATGGTTTGCTACTTGCTTATTTGTATATGACATGTCCATTGTATGAATGCCTATTAGGCATTGTATTGTTACTTCTGTCTTCAGGACACCAATTCAGTCAGCTATACACCCTGAATGCTTATAGCCTTTAAATGACATGACAATTTTTTAGCTTTTTTTTAAAAAAAATAATGATTTTCACAAAAAACACTTTTTGTTTTAATTATGTAAAAGTTGAAGAAATACTAGTGATTATTTTTCAATCACATAATAAGTATTTATCAAAAGTTAACTTTGAATGTGATCTACACATTTTTTTTAAATAATTAGATTTTAACTTTCTTTTTTTTTTTTAAAGATTTTTTTTCTATTGTGCTAGAATTAACACTACTTGAAGCTAAAGACAAGGGTCTTTTGTCACACAACATTTGCCCTTTGCCTAGAGAAATGAATTTTCCTATTGGTAAAGGAGAGAGCTGGCATGATTTATACGACTTAATCAGGTAATGTTCTAGAAGCAACTATGAAACAGCTATTTTTCACATTTGATAATATAGTTTTTAGTTTTATTGCTAATTCTTTTATCTTACCTGATACTGCAGGTTTCCATCTGAAGGCAGTAAACAGCCTTTTGATATAATTCAAAACAGTGGCTCAAAAGCAAAATTTGGGAAATTAGGTATTTAATATTGTGTTAATTTTTATGTGTTGTTTATTTATTTTAATTTTAAGTTATGTTTTTTTTCTAATTTTTACATTGTTTGTTACCATTACAGGTGAAGGTGATGCAGGCCACAACCCTTTGAGGGTCCAGTCTAAAGCAGTCAATGTTAGTAAATGTGTGTCTGACAGAGTGTCTATGATCCACAAACTCACAGCTCCAAAAGAGGTTGGTTTTAGTTACAAACTTATGGTTTGCCCAAAAAATTGTCAAATTTCAAACTTCTACATTTTTTAATGTGTTCACCTTTCTTGTAATTACAGAAACCAAAAGTCAGGAATGTGACAAAAGAGTTACCTGAGCTTGTGTTGGGTTTGAATGACAATTTCAGTGAAGAGATACATGTGTTTGCTCATCCAGGAAAACATAAAGAATTGAAAGAGGTAAAAAAAAATGTATATTTTTTACATTAAATAAATAATAATTAATATATATTATTTTTACTACTGAAAAGTATTTATTTTTTAATATTAAACTCATTTACCTCTAATTTAAACCATAGGCCTTTCAAAGTATTTAAATGAAGCTGATGGTGAAATTCCACCAATTTTGTGGTTGGGTGGTATTAAAAAATCTTGTTCTTAGTTCTTTCTCTAGTAATACATATATCTATTAGTATGCAAATGACTATATTGTTTATTTGGAGTCAAGCCATCATACTGAAATCTTCACTTCTTTAAAGTGTTATTTGCCTAACATTATTACTTACTTGAAATTATTTCATTTATATATGAACCCATGATGTAGAAAGTTTCTGTTATATATGAAATAGCCCAACTTTTTTTTTACTTTCTCGTATATACGTAGTATAGAGAAAGTAGTGTAATCGTGCAAAAAAAAAAAATCGAGATTTTTACAAATCTCGACGTTTTACACCTCACTGATACGGAAAAACATAATTTTGCAATCTTGTCCGTATGTCTGTGTGTATGTCCGTGTGTAAACACGATAACTTGAGTACAGTTACAGCTAGGTTGATGAAATTTCATGTATAAGTATTATATCAAAATCGTAGATCCGTATCAACTTTTGAGCGATTTCCGATAACCGGAAGTGGTACTTTTTCTACTTTGAATTTTTCAAAAGCCTATAACTTGAGTACTATTTCAGATAGATAAATGAAATTTCACATGTAAGTAAAAGATCTAATTCTCTACCTTCTGTTAAATTTTGAGTAATTTCCGTTGACCGGAAGTAGTAATTTACGCTACTTCCGATTTCTCAAAAAACTAATGTAAATTTTAAAAGTACTAATAATATTGCGCACTATTATGCGCTTTTTTATTTCGCGTTCACTTGGTGTGCAATTAATTTGTCTAAGAGATTTTATTCTATTTTTAAAACTTTAAGTATTAAATATGGATTAAAAATCATGTCTATAGCCCGAGTTCCCATCCCCTGTTATTTTATATAAAAATATTCGAGGAAGTTTAGGGGAGATCACTCCCGGTTTATTTATATTAAAAACTCTATCTTTAAAAAAAGCAGGGAAAGAACATGAAACAAATATTTCCACCTTCTGAACCACTGCCATCATATAAGGTATTTTCTTTAGTTTTCAAGTAATTGATTGAAATCTGCTAACTGAGCTAAACCAATCTTTCTTACATTTTTTCCAGCCCAGCTTAAAAATGTTTCTTAGTACTCACACTTAAATGTACTTGTTAATCTGTATATTAGCGTAGATGAAAGTCTAACTTGTATACATATATGTTATTAAATCATTGGTGTAATTAATGTTATTTACAAAGGCCCTGGAGCCAGATCCCATAATGAAGTTAAAGAGAATCATTGGATTCGGTGGTGCTACCTTTCGCGATGTGAGTATTTTGTACTCAATAAATATTTCTCCACTGAATATAATAATGTATACACGTAGTTTTTTTGCACTTAATAAATATTTTCCAGCAGACAGTATAATTACATTAATTTGAACTTGATAAATATTATTCCACTGACTATTTATTAAAGATGTATACACCTGGTTATTTAACACTTAACATTTTGTCACTGACATTGGTGATTTTATTTTGCAGACTCTTTGGTCAAGTGATGGTAAAAGTATTGTTTACCCATGCCATGCTGTTATAGTTTCTATGAAAATTGATACGGGTCAACAAAGATTTTTCATCGGACACACAGACAAGGTAATTCATTTAAAACTGTCAAGCAATAATTTCAATGTTAGTTACTCTTTCTGACATAGTCAGCCAGGTAGGTGAATTATTTTTGGTCTATTGTCATGGAGACAGCATAAGAATAGATGGTGGTGGCTCTAGCTGTAGAGCACTAGACTGTAGAACAGCTTTGTGTCCACCCAAGGAAATCAAAAGCAGCTGGGCATAGTGCTGACCACATTTTTCTTCATATGCCGAGGTCACCAAACAGGTGAACTCTACTTCACTTGCCCTTTACTTTTTTACAGCAATAGAAAATACTTTTACTTTGCCTGTCTGGTAAAAATTCTTAACGCTTCAACCCTTTCAGGCTTAGGAGAAGGGTAAACATTTATATGGTTTAGAATGAGCTTGCTAGAAATTAAAAGTGTGTGTTTTTTTTATAATGTTTTTGCTGTTCTCTACCCAAAAAAAAAATCATTTTAATTTTTAATTAAACTAGAAAATTCAAACTTGAGCTAACAAAAGTATTACGATAAGTGTCATAGGTAGTAATTTCCACATAACAACATAACTTAGTAAAACCTTGTGGTGCTGCCAGTAACAAAACAAACATGATTTTTTTAGAGACAGTTGTAGGAGTTGCATAACATCCTCACCACATTGCCCATCATTTTATTCTTACAGAATTGTTATGTTAATCACCATGCTATGTTTTAGGTGTCTTGTATTGCCTTCACCGCCAACTCAAGCCTTTTAGCTAGTGGTCAGACTGGTCAGATGAGTGCTGTTAGGGTGTGGAAGTATGCCTCAGGAGAGTGCCTTAGTATTGGGAAAGTTCATGATCATTCACTGAGCTCTCTTAGGTAATTTTTTTTTACGTGTTCGTTATGAATCTAAAGAAGCTTTAAAAATATAGATAGAAAATTATTGATGGTGGGCATTGTCCTTCATGGAGGTAAACTTATGATAGTTTAAGACTGTCATTGTCTAAATCAGTACATGCATAGATCACAGGAGTAAAAAAAATGTTAACCACTGAACTTCAATGTAAATCGCTCATAGCAATTCTAACATTACTTTTTTTTGTCAATTTAGTTTTTCTACCAAAGGAACTATTCTGTGTGGCCTTGGAAAAGATGGACTGGGGAAAAATGTAAGGATGTCTTGTAGTCAGCTATTTTTTTGTAATTATATAAAATATTAATATATATATATATTTTATATTTGTTTTGTATTTTAAAATTAGTTGCCTCCCATGATGATACTATAATACTTACTTGTCTCCCTTTGCTCCAGCTTGTGGTAGTGTGGAACACTTCAAAGGTTTCAAAAAGTCGAGAAATTTCTGTCCTGGCCAAGGCCCACACTGATGTTGACATAACTCGTATTGTTATAGCTCCATTTGATGACATGAGGTTAGCACCATCTTAGATATCTCTTACACAGTGCTTACACAGTTCATTTTCAAGCAAACACAACCTACGCAGTTTGTGGCAATTGAATGAACTTTCATTTTATGTTTATATGTCTTTTTAACTCCCAGGTTAACACTTGCAGAAAGACCATTTATCAAAATAATACACGGAATTGTACACAACATCATTAGTGTCATATACATCATACATAACTTGTACACTGTATCATAAACATTGTAAGCACAGTGTAATATATATCATTGTACCCATACATCATTATGTCTTTACAGCTACCAAGGTGTGTTTTACCTGTGATGTATCAAAATGACTTGTTTGGTCACTTGTAACAAAACTACCTGTTCATATTAGCAATGGTGTCCTGTGGTAGAGACAATGCTCAGTAACAAAATGGCTTGTTTGCTTGACCTGATGACAAAATGACCTGTCTGTTTTAGAAAGTTTAGTTACAAAATGACTTGTTTGCTTGACCTGATGACAAAATGACCTGTCTGTTTCAGAATGGTGTCGTGTGGTAGGGACAATGTTCGAGTGTGGAGGATCAAGGAAGGTGCCCTGAGATCAGCCCCCATGAACCTAGGAGAATACCACTCTATGGAGTTCACAGACATCTGCTTTGAGTTTTCTCACACAGACTGCCAGCCAGAGAATCATCTAGTGTCAGTGATACAACATTTAATTGGCTATATCTTTAAGTTTTTTTTCTACTATACAAAGCTGCTGATTAGTTTTTCACACATGTGAATGTTAATAGGATTTGTTTACTCCTTCAACAGCTACACATGTACAAAGTCAGGGCACATATTTGAGATGGACTACCACAAATTGTTGATACATCATGTCAGACGGTTGTTGCCCCTGCAGAACAAGTCTGGGAAAGCTAACAAGTTACAGAACTCTAATGAGTCGGGTATTATCCAAGAACATTTTTTTTTTTTTAAATATTTATTTATTTTTTTGACCTTGTTGGATTGTGCAGCCAAATAGAAAAAATTGATTATAACTCAAAAAATGTTTAATATCCCATTGCATGTGTGGATTTAATTTCTAACAATTTTTCTTCAAACTTTTAATAGTGTTAATTCAATAATCTTCCATCACTAATAGGTCCCATGTCAATTAACTCCATGCATCTCAATGAAACTTTCTGTGTAACTGGCTCTGATGATGGATTTCTTAGACTTTGGCCATTAGATTTTGCCCATGTCTACCTTGAAGCAGGTGATACATTTATTTACAATTTTAAAAATTCTTTTAAAATTATATATTTTGATGGGAAAGTAATGGCTGCTGAACTGAATTCTCCCTTCCTTATTGACCATTTGGTCTGTTAATGTACTTTATTTTGATTAGCTTACTACATGAGTATTTTCTTTTTGTTATCTATATTAAATGTTTAACAAAAATAAATTTTAAAATAAAATATCTTTCAATATTAACCAAAAGAGCATGAAGGCCCTGTGACCACTACTCGTCTCTCTGCTGATGGTCTAAAGATTATTGCTGGAACCTCTTCGGTAAATTTTGTTTTAGAAATTTTTAAACAGTTAAAAATAAATAATTTGTTGTATCATGTTTATATTTTACTTAGATGTGTTGTCTGTTTTTGTTATGTTGTGATTAAACCCACCATACCAATTTTACGAAGGTTATTAATTTTCATACACAAATATTTCAGGGCAACTTGGGTGTATTAGATGTGTCCACTAGACAATATACAACTATCATGCGCTCACACACAGGTCGTATCCTCTGTTTTGCTGTTGATCCGATGCGCAAACATTTGACTACAGTCTCAGAAGATTTTACTATTCGTGTATGGGACATTGAGACCCTACAACAGGTGTTGATTTTATACATTTTAACAAATTTTAATTTAACGTCTTTTTATTTAGAACAGGTTATAATATTTCTTTAAATTCTTATTTATTCTTTTTATCCATTTATATGAATTTTTTATAATAAACTAATTGTGTTGTTAATCATGTAAAATCTGCCCCTACTTGCAGTTGTATGACTTCAGTGCCCCTGATGAGTGCCCCTGTTGCATCAACTACCATCCAACCAAACAGATTTTCGCCTGTGGGTTCCACAGTGGCACAATAAGAATATTTAATGTCGAGACTACATCTTTACTCGCAGAACACAGGTCGGTCCAGGAGGTTGTACTATACTGGTTGACATTTGTAGAATACAAGTTACCTACCAACTTAACAAATTTCCAAATCTGTGACCGTAAAGCAATAGTTTTAACCCTTGTAATATTTATTTATAGACAACTGCGAGGTCAGGTCACAGGTTTAGCCTATTCACTGGATGGTCAGCGTCTGTTTGGCTGCTGCTCCCTGGGGGTGGCTTCAGTTTTTGATGCCTCAACACCTGAATACAAGGTAGGTGAAAGGATCACTACACTTTCTTAAATGAAATTTTACCAGTAACTTATAAATTAAGTATTCACTCTCTTTACGTGTGATTGATTATTAAGATTAATTACAATTCATTAAAACTTTTGTGTCAGGTGATAAGAGTGGTGGCTGGGCTGGTAGCTCGGGGTGAAAAGTACGGACCACAGGCTCTTGCTGTGAGTCCATGTGGCAGGCGGGTGGCCTTTGTTGGTCCAACAGATCTCACAGTGACTGTAGCAGACGCTAAGTGTTTGGATGAGGTAGACTCAAGTTGCACTCAACTGTTTCATTGAATAATATTTCTAATTAGTTAAGTAGAAGAAAATTTTGTTTTAGTGTAAATTATATTTTTTTTTTAAAAATGTAATTTCAGTTATTAAGAATAGATGTGTCTAATATGGGCTTGGGGTCCACCTGTGTGGATTCTGCTGAGAGAGTCACATTCTCACCCACAACCAAAGGTCATCTTCTGGTCACCACAATAAACAACAAGCTCAAAAAGTATGAGGTCAGGACAGGTCGTCTGCTGCAAGAGGTGAGGGTGGTTTCAATCTTTAGCACATCTGTAGCACATCGATTTATTTTTTCAGTCTTTCCTTTTGTCTATAGCACATTGATTTATTTTTTCAATCTTTCCTTTTGTCTATAGCACATTGATTTATTTTTCAATCTTTCCTTTTGTCTATAACACATTGATTTATTTTTTAAATCTTTCCTTTTGTCTATAGCACATTGATTTATTTTTTCAATCTCTCCTTTTGTCTATAGCACATTGATTTATGTATCAGATCTGGAGTTTAGTTATTTTTACAGTATTAAAATAATCTCTTTCTTGTATTTTCCTAATCTAGTTGACACAACTAGAGTTTGGAGAATATTGTCTTGAACTTATCTTATTGTGTTTTTAAAATAGTAAATGTTTCAGATGTATAGTTTCCAAAGTATTGTTCTAATAACTGTAATATTTACAAAGAATTGTTCTAATAACTGTAATATTTACAAAGTATTGTTCTAATAACTGTATTGTTTACAGAGTATTGTTCTAGTTAACAAAGTTTTGTTTTAATAACTGCATTGTTTACAAAGTATTGTTCTAATAAACAAAGTATTGTTCTAATAACTATTGTTTACTAAGTATTGTTCTAATAACTGTATTGTTTACAAAGTATTGTTCTAATAAACAAAGTATTGTTCTAATAACTGTAAATGTTTCAGATTGATCATGTGCACCGTTCTGGTTGTAGCGCCATCACAGTTTCCGACTGCGGCAACTACATGGCTACAGGAGGTGACAAAACTATCAAAATCTGGAGCTACGAGATGAATCTGGACATAAATTTTCAGGTTAGCTACCACAGCTACATACCCTAATAGTGAAATAAAGGAAATTCTAGCTTTTAGCTTGTTGATTGTTGGTGACTGCTCATTTGATTTCATGAATGTGTTTTTTTCCTTGCAGGTGTTTATAGGCCACAGTGAAAATGTCAGCAGGATCCATTTTACACCTGACAGGCTGAACCTGATTAGTTCAGGTGAAGCTGTTTACATCTGGGACTTTCTGGTGGAGAGGTCACCCACACCACCCCTGTATGTCTTGATACAGCTTGTATAGATAGTTTTGGTACATTTTAGTTCTAGTTATATTGGCCATTATATTTTATGTGTGGGATTTTCTAGTGGAGGGATAACCTACACTACCCATGTACATCTTGTGACAGTTTGTCTATGTGTCATATTATTTAGCTCTATTATGACTAGAATTTTCAGGCTTAATACCAAACCTGAGGGGAGGTGTGTCTTTTGACCAAACCTAAGTGATAAATAGGTCTTTAAATTGATTCTGTAATACAAGGCTGGATTTTATAGTAAGGTTAACCTTAAGTGGTGGCCGCAGTAATAGATGAATCCTGCTTCACCTACTCTTCATCTGTTCTTACATTAAAACTTTATTAGGAATTGCTAAAAATATATTGCTTAAAATATGTTTATTTTTAAGTAAAAAAAAATTTTTTTTTACAGTGTTGGACGAATGGTACTGGAAGATATCGGTAAGAGATGTAATTTTTTAACAGTTTAAAATTGTTAAATATTTAACACTTGTGAAAAAATTTTAATTATATTTTATTTCATTTTCTTTAAACATGAAAAAATAAAAAATTTCTGTACTTAATTTAAAAGGTGAATTTTTTACTTTTTAACAGCTACTTAATACTGTTATTTGATGTGCTTGTATTAGTGTTTCAAATAATGTATCATTAAATACTGTACACTACAACCTGACAGATGAAGTGGCCTCTAATGCAGAGACAATGAGTATTGTGGACGAGCCACCCGAGCCTGTCCAACAGCGGCCAAGTTTTCCCAGACCAAAGACAACCAAATATGTGTCTCCACACTCTGATGATATTGACTGCCTTAGTTCTATACATGATGGGAGTGGTAAGTCATAACATTAGCAACTCTAGTACTCTAGATCTCGTTCTTTGCATTCTGCCTCCCCCTTACAATGCCTTTAAGTTGAAATAATTTCTGCATAAATAAAAAAAATTACTTAATTATTGAACTTAGTCTTAAAAGATTCTACTTTGGGTTATCTGTATATATATTAAGCCATTGAGATTTATGTGTTTAATTAATTTATCAGTTATGTAAATCTACATGACAACTATATCCTTACTGTAAAGATTTGTAATTCTTAGATGAGGATGATCAAAAACAAGATCCTGATCAATATCGGAATGTGGTTGCCTTCCCACCAGCCAGCAGAGACCGTCCATTTCCCATCGGTATTGACCAACTCCGGCAGTCTCTCAGAACAAACCAGGACAAGTCAGACAGAGAAGATGTCCACGCCTGGTCTCAGACGGTCAACAACAACCATGTCCAACGGGACAGACTGAAGGAAGTTCATCTCAACAAGACTGTCACTGATTCGCCTTCACTGCCCTCTGTTTTTGTGCACCATAAACAAAGAGAGAAAAGTTGTGGGCTAGCACAGGTCAGTTGTCTTGTAGACCATCAATTATTTTGTCCCATGGAACTTGTGTGCCATTTCTACATTCATCATCATCATCATTCCTGTGAACCTCTTGTGGAGCATAGAAATTCAACATCTCCTTTTCTTTGAACTTAATTTTGGGGATCTTTTAATTAAAATATTTAAATTATATGTTCTGCTCTGGTGAGGTATTGAGGTATGCAAAGAAAAAGCAAGCTTTTTCTCTGGGCATAGCATCTTGCTATTGCCTTAGTCACAGAAGTTATTAAATTCTTTCTGTTCTGCCCATTTGGAAATTTTCTTTTTTGTTTCATTAAATAAATGATACTCCAGTTTTTTTTAAAATAACTAATGTTAGGTTTCACTTGGTTTATTAAACAGAGAAGGTATACAGCACCACCCAACCAGGCTGGGCTTAGACTCAAGTCTGTGATTGGCTTCAACTGTAATGGCAGGGACAACATGGTCTGGCATCCTGATACAGGTCAGACATTTTTACATCATCCACTCCATGTTAGTTTTTTTTTTCAAGAAATCTGTTATTCAGAATGTTCCTGTATAAGTTAAAAACATAACTGAAATATTATTTCTCTGTATTGTAGGCTACTTTATCTACTCATCTATAATTCAGAATGTTCTTGTATAAGTTAAAAAATTCAATCTGATCTAACTGAAATACTATTTCTCTGTATTGTAGGCTACTTTGCCTACTCATCTATAATTCAGAATGTTCTTGTATAAGTTAAAAAATTCAATCTGATCTAACTGAAATACTATTTCTCTGTATTGTAGGCTACTTTGCCTACTCATCAGGCTGTGTAATTGTAGAGGAGGATCTAAAGACTGGGGACCAAAAGTTTTTACTTGGTGTGTATCTTCTCATGTTGTTTACATTAACAGTGCTAATTAGAGTTGTCTGCTTCTGTTTGGTTTTGCACTCTTTATTAACTAAAATTCTTAATTGTTTTTTGTAAAGGCCATACAGAAGAGATATCATGCTTAGCTCTTCAAAACGACAGCATGGTAATTATGTTTTTTATCTATCCTGTTTGGTAAAGTAGACATTCTTTTGATGAGGTTGATGATTAACTATAACACATTTGTGATCTTCCATAGAAAAATGAGTTGCTTTGCACAACAAACTTTTTTTTTTGCTAGACCATAATATAGGAGGATATCAAGGAAATTGGTTTTAGTGTTTTAGCAATTATCTGTTAATTTTAACTGCTCTTTGACAGTATCAGATCTGAAATTCCTCAAAATCAAAACATGGATTGAGTTTAGATTAAAATAATCATTGCTCAATGACTGTCTTTATGTTGTAGTTTTCACTCCCCCACCCCACCCCCACTCAATTTGTGGGTGAGGGTCCTCACCTTTATGATATTTTGTGTAACATGTTTTTCTGTTTGTCTCCAGTTTCTGGCTTCAGCTAGTCCAGCTTTCCAGGGCTCACCCTGTCAAATTATTATCTGGGACACCCAGACGCGTGTGTGTAGGAGGACCCTCTCTCATCATAAGTTTGGTGTTCAGTGCATGGCATACTCTAGAGATGATCGGTTCCTTATATCCATAGGTAAACCGCTGTTCTGCATCTTAGCAAAAAAAAAAAAATGGAAAAAAATAAGGTCAGGTGGGGGGGAAGGAAAGAAGAAAGAAAGTATAGAAGACGTAAGTGGAGAACAAAGGATATAACTGCATGCAATCACACACTAGTGCTTATACAATTTCCAAAATATGATTCTGCCCCATCATGGGAGTTCATACTTAACTTTTCTTACTTGATCTTCATTTATTTGAACTGTTGGTCTCAGAAGGTCAGACTCAGGACCAAGGGTCGTTACTCCCTGGTCCCCGCGGTTTTAACTCACATGAGTCATACAGCGCAGTCATCACGATTCTTTTCTGAAGTTCCGTAGAACTTACAGATCAGAATTATCCCTTACTGAGACACCGAACATTGGCTTACTTCTATTCAAGTATTTTAAGGAAATGTAACAAAATTATGGTTTTCATTACTTTGTGATTATCACATTGTAATTTATTTCCTACTGGTCTCTTTATATTGCCGTCTATTGTTTTAGCTTGTGCTTATTATCAAAGTAATTTAGCACAAAAATTACTCGAGTTTCCTCACAGAAATGTTTTATTTCAGAAAAAAAAGTTTGTAATACTTTAAAAATATTACCTTTTGATTATTACCTCCCTTTGAAATTTTCCATCATGCATTATCTCTCTTATTTAGGAAAAAAGTGTTTTGTTTATTATTTATCGTGTTGTTTCCCCTGATGAATCGAAAACTTGGCAGATTTTTTATTTGTTTATATTTTTACATAAAATCTTATTTTTATGTATTGTGAACTGAAAGAATGTAAACTGTAATTGTTTTGTTTTTTTCTTCAGGAGATTATAGAGACTCCACAGTATGTGTTTGGAGCAGTGACACCTACAACCTGCTGGCACAGAATGTAGCAGCCTCTCCCATACATGCTGTCAGGTGGGACCCCTTCACTGTCAACGAGTTTGTTTCTGTGGGGGAGGATGGCACACTGCTGTTTTGGCTGCTGGATGAGACTGTTTCTGATGTCTGTCTCAATGTTCATGAAGCTGAGGTGCCCAGGGAATTGGATTCTAAGGATGGCAAGGTAGGCCAGGATTCATATTTTAATCTACAACCATGTAGGTTAAATGTAAAATTTAAGTATGACAAGTTAGGCCAGAACAGAATTAAAATTTAACTCAATAGCAATTTTAATAGAAATAAAATTTAACTTCGGAGCAAGGTAGGTCGTAATGAAAATTAATCTCAATTAAAAGTTAATATGATCTTATTTCCACAAATATTATTCTGTGTTAATAGTTAATTTTCCAAAATGGATGCTAAGGCTTCTCTTAATTGTTTTACTTACCTTATATTTTAACTAATGTTGCATGTTAAATTATTACCAATGCCTGCACTATATTAAACATTTCTATTCTATATTTCTAAAGCTTCTAAATTTTTTTTTAAAAAGTTAACAATAGTAAAATGAACTAATAAAACCAGTAATTGACCTGTTTTAATTAAAAAGTACAAATTGAGTTGCAGCACTAATGAAATATGTTGCCACCTCCAGCCTGTAGTGTTCACATCATTAGCCTATGCTAGTGACAGCACGGTCTACATTGGCACCAACACAGGGCAGGTCTCAGCATGGGACACGCGTCACAACACTTGTTTCATGCACTGGGAGGCTGACACTGGAGAAATCAGTGAGTTCACTGTCTCAACATATTTTTTTCTTTTACAATAGTTGTATTCGTTGGCACAATAGTACAGCTCTTATTTCTACCAGAAATAACTCACGGAATGTAAAGATAAAACTTGTCTTCAGTATAGCTCTATTTATACATGAAATAAGTAATCAAAAACTACAACAAATGGAAAGATTTTGGGTTTTTGTGTTTAAAATTTAGTTTTACTTTTTTTTTTGGAAATGTTTTTTTTTAAAGGTGTAGCAATAAAAAATGACAAAAACTAGTATGTTCTATGTTAATTATCAGACTTAAAATGAAAAATGTGATCTTTTAAATACAGAACTAAGTAGATTTTTAAAAAAATGACAACTGATGTCTTCTAATTATGTCAGCTAAGCTTGTGTCCCGACACAGCAGACTTATGACAGCAAGTGTCAGCAACACACTGAGGCTGTGGGCAGTGGACAGTGTGGGGGACATGAAGGTGGCCAAGATCTCACAGAAGGCCTCCACTGGCCTGACCATGGAGGACGAGATGGCCCTGGATGGCCCCATCACCTGTGCTGAGTTTGATGATCTACTGGACATGGTACGGCAGTTTTTGTTACGTTTCACTAGGATGTTTTAATAAGTTATCAAATTGATAGTTTTCTTTAAATTTAATTACATGCCATATAATAAATGAATTTTTCCTCCAGGTTATCAGTAATTTAATTTCTTATTTGTTGCTGCACAGGGCATTGTGGGAACATCTTCAGGGACACTATGGTATATCAACTGGTCAGAGAGAACCTCCATACGCTTAGTCTCTGGTCACAAGAACAAGGTAAGAGTGATCTTTCCTTAGTTCTAAAATTTTTAATATTTAAAAAAATGTATTTAGGATTTCTGTATTTTCTTTTGAAATTGTCATTTTTTTCTAACAGATAAATGGGGCAGCTTTTGCTCCAAATAATATGATGGTCACAGGGGGAGATGATGGCAGTGTGAGAGTGTGGTCACTTAAAAACAAGGAGCAGGCTCTACAGTTCCAGGTTATAGACCAGGTAAGACAACATGTTCTTTAACTTCATGTTTTGGTTTGGTATGGTGACTTATGAGTGTTGGCAATCTTTAGAGGAACAACTTTTAATCTCTTGGGTAACTAGTTTTAATTTTTAGGGTAATGAATGACTAGCCAACTTGTATAAAATAAGTCAGATCATTTATAATGTGTGTGCTAAATCATTTTGATAAACATGATATAGAAAATTGACTGAACTATGTGCACTAAGGGACTGCGTGATTGTATGAAAGAGTGTGTGGCTACTAGCCCCAAAAGTCTTAAATTAGGATCTCTGTCCCTTGAGATCTCAGTACGCCTCTGAGTCCACCCAGCTCTGATGGGTACCGGACTCATGTAGGGGAAAGTAAACGTGAATGGACATAGTGCTGACCACACCATCCCTTCAAATGCCAAGGTTAAGAAACTTCATCAGTCTAATGGATCATTAATTCTGAAATGGGAGCTTTAGTTGACTTTGTTATGTGTATACTAGTTTCACATTAATTTTTTGATACATAAGACTAAAGTGAACAGTAGTTAAAAGGTGACTATTTTTTATGAATCATATGTGTTCAGAAATAAAATTTAGCATTTAAAAATTTTTTTTCTCCAGTCCTGTACATGCCTGGCTGCAGGGCCTGTGGAGGGGGCCGAGGCCTCCCTCCCTCTAGTGGCCTCGGGCTACAGTGATGGGACCGTACGCGTGTTTGATGTCAACAAGGTGGAGATGTTACTCAAGATGCGCCCACACGCCGTCACAGTTACAGCCATAGCTTTCTCTGCTGATGGTAAGTTACTCAGTGGGATGTCGTGGCTGGGGAGTAGAGTTCATGACTGCTAACCTGAAAGTTTAGAATTCAGGTCCCAGATTTAAGTCAGGAGGATACATTAGGGATGGTAAAGGCAACTGGTATTGGTACTAACTATACCATCCCTGTATATGTCTAAGTCACAGACTACAGGTAGCTTTAAGTTACTATAGTCAGATGTTAGCGCTGCCTGAAATTGGCCATTGATGAAGAACTTGATGATCATGCTGATGTTTTATAATTGTCTCCAGAGGTGTGATTTTAAAGTCGGAAGGTGTGATGTTGTTGTCTGTATTTAATGGTGTGATGTTGTTGTCTGTATCTAAAGGTGTGATGCTGTTGTCTGGAGGAAGTGATGGTCTCATAGCTGTGAGTAGCCCCACCACTGGCATGACTGTCCGAGTTATTACTGACCACAGGGGGGTGGCCATTTCAAACATTGATGTGACTTTAACCAAGGTACTTTTTTTAAAACTCCACCCACTACCTTTATTATTATTATTTACATGGCAGAAATAGTTCACTCTTGTATAAAAGGTCTGTTATATTAAGTTTTTATAAACTGAAAATTCTGTGGTGTTTTTCCCATCGATTTTAGTATGTCATGACCTAATATGCTAGAACATTATGTTTGATCTTGTTGTTATATTATTTTTATACAAGCTCTATAGTGTAATGTTAAATAATTTTATCATAAATAATTTTTACATACATTTTTTTCAGACAATGGCTGAAATCTGTTCTGTAAAAAGATTTTTCTGACTTAATTTTTTAAACCAGGATATAGATGTTGGAGTTACAGCCCCTACCCTATGGCTAGCCAGCAGCAGAGACAGGAGGGCCAGTGTGTGGTCAGCTGACTGGTCCAAAGATTTTTGTGAGCTTGTTGATTGGTTAACTTTCCCAGCACCCGCTCATATGCCAGATGGTACTCGAATTAAAAGGCATGACAATGTATGTTCTTTTTAAGGAAAATATAATTCATTTCTTTTTATAGAATTTTTAAAAACTTAAGTAGTTTGTTTTATTATGTTTTGTTTTATTATGTTTACGGGGAGTGGTGATCACAATGTAGGGCAATGATTTGGTCTATATTATTTGATTTTTAACCACTTTATTGAAAATGTTCCCTGGGGGAGCAGGCACCCCCTCTGCTCCCCCACTGCCTACGCTTCTGCTATAGCTTACAGAGATGTAGGTAATGTATGATAATTGGTTGCTGTAAACACTTGTATTATAGGACTAGAAAGACAGTCAGCTAGGAATTTGGAATTTCTTCAAAGCCCCAACATAATTCAGTGTCAGATGTTTCAATGTCCTCATGAAATATATCTACATTCATCAGATTTAATAAATTTTCTTACAAGACCTATCTGGCAAAAAAACATTTGTTTTCCCCAGGACCACTACATTCAACTGCCTCCCACTTTGGCCAAGTTTTCACCGGATGATGCGGACACCATTGTGTACACTGGATATGGGATGGAGAAATGTGTACATTTTTACAGCTTGACACAAAGAAAGGTACACATTGAACTGCAATCACAAAGTCTGTAATTAAAAATTTGCAAAACTGCTGACGGTAAATTAGGATGTACCTGCTGATAAATAAATGAGATTTAACATTTGATAAATGGGATTTAACATTTAATAAATGGGATTAAACGTTTGATAAATGGGATTTAACATGTGATAAATGGGATTAAACATTTGATAAATGGGATACAAAAGGATGATAAATGAGATGTAACATTTAATGAAAATGGATTCTAAAGTTTATAAATGGGATTATAACTCTGATAAATGGGATATAAAAGTTTATAGTTAAATGTTGATTAAAGCAGAATTGACAGCTAACCTGATGGTTTGGTTCCAGGTCGTGAGGTCAGTCAACTTAACCCACTGGGGTCAATGTTTGGATGTCTCACCTGACTCAGCTCTCATAGCTGTTGGAGTCTCAGGTAATGTTGGCCTCTTCTCTCTGAGATGTTTACTTTCCTTATTCACTCATAACTTACCCTAAATTAAAATTAATTTAATGAATTGTTTTTAATTTATCGCAACTTTGGCTCTTCTCTATGAAACCAGTTATTCTGAAAGTTAATTGATATAAATCTTCTTAAGGTGTATCAGTGCTTTTTGAAGATGTAGGTGTCTTGACCTTTAGAGTATTTTTTTTTATGTTTAAAGAAATCTCATTTTTTTTTAAAATAAAATCTATATATATAATTCTTTTCTGGGAGCCGTTAGAAAACAAGCTGCAAGCGCCTCCTTACAGTCCCCTCTCTTTCTCTCTATCACTATCACTACCACCCCCACCCCACCCCCAACTGGTCTGGTGAGTTGTGGTCACGCTAACTGTTTACAAATCGTATAGCCGAGTTTAGTGACGGCTATTAGGTGCAGATAATTTAGTTTGAAACGATGTTAAACTTACAGGAGGTAACTAAGAGGAGGCTGCTTTCACGGGGGGGGGGGGGGTGTAGGGTCGGGGTTAAGTGGAAAGGGGGGGGGGTAGTGTTTTAAAGCAAATATTTTCAGTGGCAGCATTGGTACTGTCGAATTCACAAATTATGAATTACTGAAAAGTAGAAAATAAAACAACTAAATAGCGGTGTATGATACGCAGCGGGTCGGCTCGTATACCATATTCTCCAATATTGATCACGATGAAATTTCTTAGAAATTAAATTAAAACTTGACTTATATTAATCAATTGTTTTTAAATGTTAAAAATGCTCAATTATGAAATTCTTTTTGAAATCATTCAGAGCGCTTGTTGAAACTGATGGACTACAATGAGGGAAGTTTCCAAGATTTCACAGGCCACAGTGATGCTGTCAGCTTGACCAAGTTCTCCCTCAGTGGTTCAATGCTCCTGACTGTTGCACACAATGAAATGTTCATATGGGAGGTTACTCTGTGATCTTGTATTTATTTCCAGCAGGATTGTCTACCCTAGATATGTCTGAATAAGTTTGTTCATTACTTTTAAAAGTGCATCGCTGTGTCAAAATGTATACAGAATGTTGAAATGTAATTTATTTTCTTTAATTTTTTTAATTTTCTTTTTATTATTCATGAATCCTCTAAAATATTCTCTCCCCTGAACTTTACTGCCAATTTGAACAAATATTTGTGGTCATTATTTTGTTTTAGAACCTTTCTGTAAATAACTTTTTGTATTATACCATTGAGATTTTCCTCAATGTTTAGTTTATTCATCTGTAGTTTATTCATTTCAAAATAATTTATCATTTTCACTGTAACTTTGCATTTAGTTTATTTATGTTAAATTTCCAATGTCACATGGCTTTTGTTTGCATGTCAGAATTAGTTGATAGATCTGTTCTATGCTATTGTTGCTGTATGTTTATATTTTAAAAATCTACCCGTCCACTTTACTTCCTGATCTGATTCACTGGAAGGTTCTGTTTGATCTTATACATGTACATCTCTATATTATAAATTATAATATTTTTATTAAACATGACTGTTAGCAACTAATGCTTTGTAAATAAACATTATTTATTAAGTACGTGGTGTATTTTTTTAATAAATTTGTACTAGTAAATATGCTGATATATGACTATTTTAGAACATGACACCAATTGAACACTCAGTTTGACTGCAGTATAAAACAAAATTTGACATAATTTTATTGAATTCAAGAAATAAGGTGATAAAATTTTCATTCACAAAATAATTCATTTTATGTAAGAATGAACAGAATTAACTTGTGTCTGTATCTTTAAAAGTGATTTTTTTTTTCTTTTTTTTTTTTTTTGAGCACACAAATTAAAGTTAAATTCATTGTAAATTATCACTAAATTTATCTGCATAAAGAGAATAGTTGATTAAGCTAGTATTTTAAGTATTAGTATTAGTATTTAAGTATTAGTATTTTAAGAAATTTAAAAAAATTGTGATTTAAGGAGTAACAAAAAAAACGACCAAATAATAACGAGGTGACATTTTCATTTAACCAAGAAATAATTCTATAAATAACCAAGTGTACGTGACTATAACTGCCTGCAACTTCTGACTATTCTTTATGAAAAAGATGAGGTTTAATTGAGGGATAATCCATCCATGTGTCTACACTTGTCAATGAACCACAAGCTGCATATTCTGTTCATACTATAAACAAACAATTTTCTGCCACCATGAGTTGTTGTGTGTGTGTGTGTGGGGGGGGGGGGGGGGGGGTTCTGGGAGAAGTGTGAAAACAAGAACCAATAAAAAAGCTGAAATCTCAACTAACTAAATGTATACCAGGAATACTGTAAACTTAAGCTGATATGATTTGATGTTAACAGAGGGCAAATCTGTTTCAAAACAAGGGGTAACATCATAACTTGGGTCTCAAAATTGTAAACTTACAGAGAAAGTTGCTTTTAAACAAGCTGCCCTTTGTTGGGTAGAAATCTGGAAGACTTTGATTACAGAGTGTTACCCTTTGGAATATTTGTCATTGTTCAGTATAATTCACACTACAAGACAGTTCTAGAGGTGCTACATTGTTCAGTATAATTCATCCTGTAACTACTGTATCAATACTAGACATGTTCTATTTTTTACTATAATTCAGCCTATAAAGTAAAGTCCATCCATGAAAGTAGCAGGTCAAATAGTCAATTAAAATACAAGAAGTGGATGTAGAGAAATCAGAAACTTGGGACAATCACTGGAACCTGGTCATCCTAGAAATAAAATAGACGAAGAAAATAAATTATTGATCACCATAATTTACTACATCTAGAATTATTGATAGCAAGGCTACAGAAGTTAAGTATGAGGAGAAAGGGTAGAAAAAAAATAAACTGATTTTGTTTCTCTTTTATATTAACAAGTAGTTTTTACAGCATAATTTGACTTAAATGTATTTTTACATTAAAGTTAGTTAAAATATCAGAAATTTGATATATTATTGGGCGGATTAACCAAAAGCCATTTATATTTCATTAACTACCGTAAATCTGCTACATGATGGTGACAAAAGTTGTTTTCTTACTTAACGACAGTTGAATTCTCATACAAGTCATCCTCTGCCAAACTTTCTCTGTTGCCAATGGTGTGGAGCTCCTGTCCAGGGGTTCGTTTGGGTGGTGCGTTAAGGTAAAGGTCATCGCTCTGATCCTCAGTAATAGTTGTAGTGGGTGGCCGTGGAGGTGGATCCCTTCGTCGTGGTCTCTGCCACCTTTTAGTGATCCTGTGTTCGGACGTGCCAAATGAACGTTTGGGAACGACCGGGCGCTTGACAATATATGGGGCAGCTCGGTCTGGAACCTGCGTTTGCTGAAATTATAAAATAAAAGATTTTTTTGTCAGATATTTTTGTTTCCATAACAAAGTAACTGATAGCCGAACAAATACCATACAGTTAAATTTTTATGGAAACAATAATGTTTAGTGATAACTCTACTTAGTATCGACACTAGTACTGATTTCAACTGGTAGGCCTATAATTACCGAAGGTGCCCCAAACCTTCAAAAATTTTGCATTTTCTTGGTTTGGTGTCACCCCACTTCCTTAACTATTATATTATTTTAAATAGATAAAAAATTGTTTTGACAATACATTTTTAGAATTTTTTTATTGGGGGCTCACCCCCTAAATGTTGAAACCTGGTGCTGACCACACCCACTATCCCCACCCCCGACTTTCAGGCTACTGACTCTCTTAAAACAAATGCCAAATGTTTGATTCTTAAGATTCCTGTAATAAATCAAGCCATGCTTTAGGTTTACATTTTCATCAAGGGGCTGTTGTGGCACGTAGAGATCATCATCATTATCATCATCCTCGTTGTGGCCATCAACTGCATCTCCATTAGCCCCAGAATTAGATGCACCAGGTTTAGCAGTTCTTAGTTGGTCAGATGCCACTGGCTCATCGTCCTCTGGTTAAACATGAAAAATTGTTTTTTTTTATTAATATTTCTCAAAAAACTCTTTATTACACATCTTGTTATTAAAAGTAAACCAAATAAACAATAAACACAATTTTTTTAATAGCATAAAAAAATAAAAAAAATACAACTAAAAGAACTTAGACAAATTCCAAACCTTCAACAATAATGTTTTCTGAGTCCTGCAACACATCAACCCCAAAGAAAATGGCTATTTGTGAAGGTGCCAGTTTGTCCAACAAAAATATTATTATTCCAAACAGTATGCAAATCAGGCCTAAAAAATGGGCAACGGGCAGTAAGTCTTTGTGAGAACAATCAAATTAACTTAAATTTGTGTTATAAAATATTGTTATTTTAATAAAAATAAAATGTTTAAACTGCAACATCAATGTTATTTTTACAAACAAAATATCACTTATCTTATAAGTAAAATTATAGAATAAATGTAAGAAGCAGAATAAAGAAAACACTATCTAACCTGTTATGAGACAAACCCAGAAGGAACCACCATAAGAAAATTCCAAAATATCTTTGTCCGTAAAGGGGATCTTGAGGTCATTCACATTGCGGAGCGTGGCCCAAATGATGTTGGAGGTGACCATAGACAGACCAGTGAGCATCAGGAAATAGGCGCCGTACCGCAGCAGCACACAGAACAGGATGTTTGCTAAAATCCATAAGGGGAACGCCAGCCTGGGGACACACATTTACTTGAATAGAATATAATTTTATATTACAACACAGGGTCATGGTCCATAAAACATATGGAGTTCTTCTGTTTCTATACCCTTGGCTAAATAGAGGACTGAGTTCTATACAGTTTGTTCAGCAATCTTTAGCTATATTGCTTTGTGTAAGGTACTGATCAGAGCGGAGTGGATTCAGGCCTGCACTACAGACATGGGAACTGAATTTGAGACATGAGGTTAGTAATTTTGTGCCCTACCCCTCAACTGTATTGTATAATAATAATATTCATATAAGTTTTAGATATCACATAATTTTTCTCATCATTTCAAAACCCAATATTTACCACAGAAACTACCACACTTACCATAGCAAGATGTAAGTACCACACTTACCACAAAATAAGTACCACACTTACCACAGCAAGCTGTAAGTACCACACTTACCACAGCATGATGTAAGTACCACACTTACCACATCATAAGTACCACACTTACCATAGCATGATGTAAGTACCACACTTACCACAACATGATGTAAGTACCACACTTACCACATCATAAGTACCACACTTACCATAGCATGATGTAAGTACCTCACTTACAACTGCAAGTTATAAGTACCACATTTACCACATCATGATATAAGTACCACACTTACCACAGCATAAGTACCACACTAACCATAGCATGATGTAAGAACCACACTTACCACAGCAAGATATAAGTACCACACTTACCACAACATGATATAAGCACGATACTTACCACATCATAAGTACCACCCTTACCACATCATAAGTACCACCCTTACCACATCATAAGTACCACACTTACCACATCATAAGTACCACACTTACCACATCATAAGTACCACACTTACCATAGCACAGAGGCGTAGCGACCCTTCCCGGCACCCGGGGACAAACTTTCAATTTGCACCGCCCCATCGAACTTTTCATTTGCACCCTCCCCTCAAACTTTTAATTTGGCGCCCCCCCTAAGGTCGGCGCCCGGGAACATATGTCCCCCCCCAGCCCCCCCCCCCCCCTCGCTACGCCTCTGCCATAGCATGATGTAAGAACCACACATACCACAGCATGATATAAGTACCACACTTACCACACCATAATTTAAGTACCACACTTACCACAGCATGATGTGTGAGTACCACCCAGCTTGTCTGTAGTGCCTCCCCCATCTGATACCTTCACCATCAATTGTAAAGTACTCAGCAATCCACAGGATGGGCAACGGCAAACCCCTTAACTGGGCAGCTCTGTATTGTTGATTGAACCTGCCAGCTGTAAGGGAGAGAACTGGGACTATCATGACAATTCTAAATAGTTTAAAGAAATACTATCAGACAGCTTGGTATTATTTAAATATTAATGTGTGTTTTTAAATATAACTTTTTTTAAAATATATTTTAACAATTTAATCAAGTAGTTAATATTGGATTAAAGTAAATACATTTTTTTTGTCTAACTTTAATACCCAATAGCCAACATGGAATTAAGTGGAATTTGTTTGTTTAAAGTGGCAATGGACTTAAATAGTTTACTGGAGATACTTTGATGTGTTAACACTGACTTAAGTCAATTTATTAAAAAAATTATTTAAAGTTGTGAATACCTAGATGTGTGTGAGGGGGGGTGAGGGGGGGGGGAGGAATTGACCTCATACTTTGCAAAAATCCCGTATACTATGTACATGTCCTTTGAGTGAAAGAAATAATCTATCCATGTAAATCTACAACAGTCTTCATATGTCGAGCATAATACTGCACTAGTTGAGGACTTCGGACTAGGTGAACTTAGGGAAGTCAGGTTGACTTTTTCATTGGCTCCAAAATTAATGGGGAACTTAACAGTATATAAACAAGGCTTTAAACTTTTGAGAATGTAATTTTTTTAAATGTAGATTCTAGTAACCATGTAAAATTTTTATAAACAGCGTGTACTTACCAAAAAGACCAAAACCAAAGTTTATTAACAAAAAGACCAAAACCAAAGTCTACTTACCAAAAGGACCAAAACCAAAGTCTACTTACCAAAGGGACCAAAACTAAAGTCTACTTACCAAAAAGACCAAAACCAAAGTCTACTAACCAAAAGGACTAAAACCAAACTACTTACCAAAAGGACCAAAACCAAACTACTTACCAAAGGGACCAAAACCAAAGTCTACTTACAAAAGGGACCAAAACCAAAGTCTACTTACCAAAAGGATCAAAACCAAAGTCTACTTACCAAAAGGGACCAAAACCAAAGTCTACTTTCCAAAGGGACCAAAACCAAAGTCTACTTTCCAAAGGGACCAAAACCAAAGTCTACTTACCAAAGGGACCAAAACCAAAGTCTACTTACCAAAGGGACCAAAACCAAACTACTTACCATAAGGACCAAAACCAAACTACTTACCAAAGGGACCAAAACCAGTCTACTTACAAAAGGACCAAAACCAAAGTCTACTTACCAAAAGGACCAAAACCAAAGCGGCCCTGCAGACCTTCCCAAGAAAAATTTTCATTGTAATCAATGGTTTCTCCTTTAATTTGGTCTTTTTCACCTGTGGCAGAAAAAAAAATAGAAATATTGATAAGCTAAGACGGTGTTATCTATGTTTTAATCATTGAAAATCGTTTTTAAGTTTTAAACAAAGATTGTTAAAAGTTGTTAAAATCTAAATAGGGTTGAGGCAGTTCTAGGGTGTAAAGGTTTAATTTAGTCTAAAAAAAAGATTTCTCAATGCGTCCATAAATGCCGTCACGTTGTTTGTCGTTTCTTACTCTCTTTCTCCATTGTCACAGATCGTCACTAAAAATCAGAGCCTTCTCCTCCCCTCCCCCATCCCCCCCCCCCCTCTCTCTCTCTCTCTCTCTTCCTGTGGCACCCTAAACATTCTATAAGAACAATAAGAACAAAAGAGCGCCACATTTCGGTTTTTTCTGTAAGGGGATTTAACCAGGCTATATTGATTTTACCAAAAATATTATTGGTTGTTTCCCCTAGCTTAAAATAAAATGAAATTAATAAGTTTAACTAAAATCATTAATGCTGACTGAAAGTTTTAGCAATGTCGGCTCAATAATATTGAATTCATTCTTCAGTTTTCAAAGTAATGTATTAAAAATTAAAATGTTAAATAAATTTTATACTAAAAATGTATAAGTGTGACGTTATGCTTTTAATACTCCCGTCATACATCGTTACTAAGTTCGACTCCTCTTTAAAAAAAATGGTTATCATGGAAGGAGGCAAAAATTACCCACCACCAGTGCCGGCGCCATGTTATTTAGCGCCCTAGGCCGAGCATGACAAAAATTAGCCTGATGTACAGAGGGTAAGTACCCTGAAATCTTTGTTGAAACTACCCTCTGTTTTTCCCATAAAATACAAACATTATATAGGGAAATACTACTGGTCAGTTTTGACCCATTTTACATATTTTTCCCGGACATGGCGAGTTTTTTGTGACACCCCTAGGCGTTCTCCTACCACCTCACAAAATTTCAAGGGGGTCGTCGGGCAAAAGTTTTTTTCGTAATAGAACCCATATAAGGCGCCGGTCAGTCGAGGTCAGTTTTGACCCCCTCTACGTAGACTTGTTGGCCAACCGGCACCGGCTCTCGTGTTCTATCGCCCCAAGGCACCATCGTGCCAAATTTGACGCGCCAGCGGCGCCGGGAAGGGCTCTATCGGGCACCCAACAACTTTGCTTTATATATATATAGATTATACGTTCAACACCGAGTGTTGCAAAAAAAAAATTATGACTTTTAAAAATAAAATATTAAAAAATTATTATAGTTTTGATTGAAGCTGAATAGCCGCATCTTGACATCAAAAGAGCCGCATGCGGCTCGCGAGCCGCAGGTTGCCGACCCCTGCCCTAGGCAAAACTTATTAAAAGCGCCCCCCCCTCCGCAATTTTGTTCGTGCCCCCATATTATCAGAGACATAGGGACCCTTCCCGGCGCCCGGGGACAAACTTTCGATTTGCAACCCCCCCCCCCTCAAACTTTCGATTTGCACCCCCCCCCCCTCAAACTTTCGATTTGCACCCCCCCCCCCCCCCCACCCCTCAAACTTTCAAATTGTTTTTCAAACCCATTTTGCGCCCTTACGGACAGCGCCCTAGGCGACCGCCTAGTTCGCCTTATAGGTAGCGCCGGCCCTGCCTACCACCCACAACAGGATGCCCAGAGGCGTCAATCCATTATTCTCCACCCACCCAACTTCCGTCTCATCCAGCACTTCTCATATTTCGACTCACCTTTCAGTGTGATGTTGACGCCCCTGAACCCAATATTGACACCAACGTCGACCTTCACCTCTTGACCTGTGCCCGCCTTGTATTTTGTGACTGTGTTGGTTTTAGCAGTCTCCCACGTCATAGAAAAATTACTCACTGTTGATAATAAATAATTATTTCGTTAAAAAGCCAGTCATTGTTTTTCTTTAAAAAACTTTTTTTTTTAAATATAGAATAATAAGACTTATACTAGGCCTTCGATGCGTCTTTTTATTGGCTGCGAACTTGAATACTGAGTCCATAAAATACAAATGGTACTATAATAGAAATAGCACCATATCAAATATTTAGTAAATTATATGCGAGAAAAATGCAAAGGTATAATAACTCTTACCTAATATAACAGCGCCTATGTACAGGCTTGTGGTAATACGTAAAAATGTGAATATTTTCTGAGGACAGAAAACAAAATATTAATTATGTGCACAGTCGGCCAAAACTCTATTTTTAAAAGTTACTTTGTCATATATCGTCCCCCTAAGAAAAGAATGTGACATCGTTATAGACAACCCCAAGAGAAAATGTATGTAACATCACGTTTCGTATCAACCGCCTCCCCCATATTGGCCATCGTTGTTAAAATGGTCTTATCCACCTTAAGCGTAGTCGTCATTGATGAATTCCTATTCCCCCCCCCCCCCCCCCCCCCCCACCCCCAAGATCAAAACGGTGGTACCATAAATCGTGTCTCACTTAAAAAGTGTTATTTCCCCTGAGTTACAATATCTGAATGTTGACACCAGTTGTCTGAACTGATATGAAATGTTCATGTATGAATATATTCGAACTAGTCTTTGTCGGTGTTGTAATGATGTCTGGTTATGGTGGTGTATTAGTGTCTGAATATAGTGGTGTAATGGTGTCTGCGTAGTGGTGTAATGGTGTCTGGGTAGTGTAATTGTGTATGGGTATAGTGGTGTAATGGTGTCTGGGTAGAGTGGTGTAATGGTGTCTGGGTATGGTGGTGTAATGGTGTCGGGGTATAGTGGTGTAAAGGTGTCGGGGTATAGGGGTGTAATGGTGTCTGGGTATAGTGGTGTAATGGTGTCTGGGTATAGTGGTGTAATGGTGTCTGTGTATAGTGGTGTAATGGTGTCTGTGTATAGTGGTGTAATGGTGTCTGGGTATGGTGGTGTAATGGTGTCTGTGTATGGTGGTGTAATGGTGTCTGTGTATATCGGTGTAATGGTGTCTGGGTATAGTGGTGTAATAGTGTAATGGTGTCTGTGTATAGTGGTGTAATGGTGTCTGGGTATAGTGGTGTAATGGTGTCTGGGTATAGTGGTGTAATGGTGTCTGGGTATAGTGGTGTAATGGTGTCTGGGTAGTGTAATTGTGTATGGGTATAGTGGTGTAATGGTGTCTGGGTAGAGTGGTGTAATGGTGTCTGGGTATGGTGGTGTAATGGTGTCGGGGTATAGTGGTGTAAAGGTGTCGGGGTATAGGGGTGTAATGGTGTCTGGGTATAGTGGTGTAATGGTGTCTGGGTATAGTGGTGTAATGGTGTCTGTGTATAGTGGTGTAATGGTGTCTGTGTATAGTGGTGTAATGGTGTCTGGGTATGGTGGTGTAATGGTGTCTGTGTATGGTGGTGTAATGGTGTCTGTGTATATCGGTGTAATGGTGTCTGGGTATAGTGGTGTAATAGTGTAATGGTGTCTGTGTATAGTGGTGTAATGGTGTCTGGGTATAGTGGTGTAATGGTGTCTGGGTATAGTGGTGTAATGGTGTCTGGGTATAGTGGTGTAATGGTGTCTGGGTATAGTGGTGTAATGGTGTCTGGGTATAGTGGTGTAATAGTGAAATGGTGTCTGGGTATAGTGGTGTAATGGTGTCTGGGTATAGGGGTGTAATGGTGTCTGGGTATAGTGGTGTAATGGTGTCTGGATATAGTGGTGTATTGGTGTCTCGTATAATGGTGTAATGGTGTCTGGTTATAATGGTGTAATGGTGTCTGGGTATAGTGGTGTAATGGTGTCTGGGTATGGTGGTGTAATGGTGTCTGGGTATAGTGGTGTAATGGTGTCTGGGTATAGTGGTGTAATGGTGTCTGGGTATAGTGGTGTAATGGTGCCTGGGTATAGTGGTGTAATGGTGTCGGGGTATAGTGGTGTAATGGTGTCTGGGTATAGTGGTGTAATGGTGTCTGGGTATGGTGGTGTAATGGTGTCTGGGTATAGTGGTGTAATGGTGCCTGGGTATGGTGGTGTAATGGTGTCTGGGTATGGTGGTGTAATGGTGTCTGGATATAGTGGTGTAATGGTGCCTGGGTATAGTGGTGTAATGGTGTCTGGGTATAGTGGTGTAATGGTGTCTGGGTATAGTGGTGTAATGGTGTCTGTGTATAGTGGTGTAATGGTGCCTGGGTATGGTGGTGTAATGGTGCCTGGGTATAGTGGTGTAATGGTGTCTGGGTATAGTGGTGTAATGGTGTCTGGGTATAGTGGTGTAATGGTGTCTGTGTATAGTGGTGTAATGGTGCCTGGGTATGGTGGTGTAATGGTATCTGGTATAGTGGTGTAATGGTGTCTGGGTATAGTGGTGTAATGGTGTCTGTGTATAGTGGTGTAATGGTGCCTGGGTATGGTGGTGTAATGGTATCTGGTATAGTGGTGTAATGGTGTCTGGGTATAGTGTAGCGCACGATTGTTAGCCCGATATTCTAACGGATAAAATTTCGTATGTTTAAAAATAGTCTTTTCATGTAGAACATCGTATTTCTGGCATCCGTGTGAAGAACTCAAGGTTTCAAAATGAAACCATGAATTCTTTTCTCTAGTGTGTAGTCGGTTTTCATAGGTTGGTTAACTCTTAAGTATTAACTATTAAGTTTTTAAACTGCTAGCCCATTGTTTCCCCACGAACACAACCGGATGTTTACAGCTGTGTTGTAATGTACTGACTCAGCCCACGGCCAGATCCTTGATGAAACTTAAAGTGGACGTTAAAAAAACACTCAAAGCAACACGCTACACACCAGAGCGTTTGGTTGTACAAGTGACCAAATTTAAGTCGGCCGACTGAACCCGCATTTTATACATATTTTAATGGGTGTTCAGATATTTGAGAAATTTGATCGGACAACCAAGTATGTAGCGACGGCTGCTTCGCTGCTGGACAAGAGATTTTTTTAGTCTTTTCTCCCCCCCTCCCTGGACGAAATAGACGAAATGTTTTAAATAAACCCTGGAATTGGACAGATTTCAATGCAAAAAATAGAAAGTCGAAAGACTACACCGGTAACCCAAGTAGCCTAAAAACTAATGCATGGTATCATGCGTATATCCGTAAAATTATAACAAAAGACATGCTATTACTCTACTACAAGAAGTGCAAAACTCCTTCATTGCCCAGTTTTAGGATATATATTACTTTTCGAATTAACCCTAACCACAACCAACCAAAACCGAAAGGACAAACGCAAACATAACGCAAACACAAACCCAAAAAAACATAAACACAAACTTAATGCAAATATAAACGCATAGTACTCACAGTCTGGCCAGGGGCGCCGGCGGAGCTTCCTGATTCAACTTAGTTAACGACTATAATACCCCAACTTATCCATAGTCTATTGCACTCAAATAAACGAATGTAGGCGCCTTAGCGCTCAAGGAAGGCCCTGGTGCCAAATAGCACTCTGTTGGGACGCCGGAGGACTTCCTGGATTCGATTTAGTGAAGGACTATAGTAACCCTTCTAATCCATAGTCTATCGCACTGTTTAAAACAAACTTAGGTGCCACAGCGCTCACGGGAAAGCCCGGGACGCCAAATAGCAGCCTGTCGGGGCGCCGGAGGAAGCATTGGTTTCAATTTACTGAACGACAATAGTAACCTTTTTTACCCACAGCTTATCGTACTCTTTAAAACGAAATTATGCGAAATCCTTAGTCTATCGCACTGTTTAAAACAAACGTAAGCGCCACAGCACTCACGGGAGGGCCCAGGGCACCAAATCGCACCCTGCTGGGGCGCCAGCGGTCGCGCCTGATTCAATTTAGTGAACGACTATAATACCACAAGCTTATCCACAAACTATATTTTTTTGTTACCTCGGGTACGTCCACCCGGCCCGCCCGCCCGCCACATACAGAAGTGAACTTTATATAATAGATTTTATTACCTCTTTTCCAACAATGCCAGGAATGATTATGTAAAAAGAAAAAGCCAATATGGCAAAGCAGAAGATCAGACCAGAAGTTAGCAAGTCAGCCTCCCATGGAATGTGAACAGCATCGTAAAATGTTGGCCCGCCATTTGTTCTGAAGGCTTCGAACGCCATCTTTAATTTTGGTTTCTCCTTCCAGACCTACAAGAGTGCAGAAAACATTTTTTGTTAAAATACCAGATGAATAAAATGTATGTTTTGGTATTGCTGCTTTGCCTCACTTAACTTTGGCTTCAACTGAAAGAAAATGTACTGCCCTGTTACCCCTTTCCATCGTCACAAGTCATAACAAATTGTCAGATCCCTCAAAGCGATATAATATTGCAGCCCAAATGACAGCGATTATTTTAAACTGCAATTTTTTTCTCAAATTTAAACAGATCTAAATCAGCATTAAGCATAAAGATTCAGTTATATTACGATATTTTTAAAAAAAAAGTGTTTAAAATGTGAAATACCAAAAAAAGTATTCAAAAAAATTATTTTGGGAAACTATGACGTCATACTCTCTACCCCCCCCCCCCCCCCCCTTGGCGTGTGACGTTATTTATGAACGGCTCCGTCAGCTTAAAACTGCATGTTGTTTTAGTAGCGATTACAACTCCTTATGCCTTATACCCTAAATTTGTTTGTGTTATTTTAAAACCAGGAATTCAAAAACTGGGGGGGGGGGGGGGGCGTGGGAATTCCCACTGATGTAATTGATTGTATCGGCGCACCAATCCGCTTCCTTGTTTTGTGGTCACGGGGTTGAATGTTAAAAGTTTTGACAATTTTTGTGTTGGCAGATGAGAATCTGAGGTAGGAGGTCGGTCGTCCACGGGTGATTTTAGGTTAATTTTCACCTACCACCCACTAAAATCTTGCCCCCCCCCCCCTCCGTCACCCCCACCCCCACCCCCTTCACTCTCTCAAAAAAAAACTTAAAAAAAAAACACATTGATTTCTTTCTCAAATATTTTCTTAACATTAAGTATATCAATTGATTTGCGTCACAAGGGGTCATCCATAAATAACATAATGACGTCACGCTTTTTTGACAATTTTTACCTCCCCCCCCTCCCCTCCGTCACACGTCGTCACAAAAATCCAGACCCACCCCCCCCCCCTAAAATGACGTCACACCTCAACCTACAACCCCCCCTCAAAATTGCAGTTGAGTCTTTTTAAAACATCGATATTTTTCTAAAATCTTGTCTAAACTATTACAATTTATTAAAACAGTTATCTAAAACGCGGAATAACGTCTAAAATTCGTTTTCTAACATTGCTTTTTTATAATGCAAAAATGTGACGTCGCAACATCTGAACCCCCCTCCCCCTCATCACACATCGTCACAAAATTACGGACCCCTCCCCCCCTACGAGTGTGACGTCATTTATGGATGACCCCCAATTAAAAAATTAAAAACAGAAATGATGAAGGCTAAAATTTTGGTTTCCATCAGTACCTTATACGATTCAATAGAGTGTCGTCACAAAATTAACACCCCCCCCCCCTCCCGGGAGTGACGTAGTTGATAGAAGACTCATTAAAAATAATATAATACAGTTCAGGTGAGATGTAAAATCAAACAAGCAGCGACGTCAACAGGATTTGTTGTTTGAAGGGTTCTATGCGGATGTTATTTCTCGGATGTTTTTTTATCGGTACACAGAAGCGACAATAAATGGTAATGTTTGAATTGAGTTGGGTGAACGATTTACACAGTGTAATGTAGGCTATCAGTGTTTCTTTCAGACAGTTTTTTTTTTTGGGGGGGGGGGGGGGGGGGCTTACACTGATCGAAGTGTATATTTTGTATTTAAATTTATTTTATTTCGGGGAAAGAACATGCCTGAAAGAAACTCTGGAATGTATGGGTTGATTTGGAGACATCACGATTTAAGGGGCGTCATTAAACGACGTTAGATACCTGGCGATGTGAGGGGGGTGGGTGTACATACATGTTACGTTGGGTTATTTGTTGTTTTTTTTTTTTTTTTTTTTTTTTTTTTCAAGAAAGAAATGCTGATAAACATATTAGGATGATTTGTTAGAATTATTATTTTGAGGTGGATGGTGTAACTTCGTGACGTCTTTGTGTGTGTGTGTGTAGAAAAGGGGGGGGGACTTCTTATTGCGACGATATAGATGAGGGTAAAACTTGCTAAAATAGCGTGATGTTTTCTATAAACGACGCCTTAGATGAAGTTGGGTAATAGTTGTCTTCTTATAACGATTTAGCTATAGACTAAAGTTGGCTACCCCTCCACAAAATCCACACCCTAAAGGATCATAAATAACATCTCTGGGTCATGTATATTTTTTACTAAGGTTTGTTACAGTAATTACAATTATTCTCCGTGTTGTTTTTAAACTGTTATTTGTAACTGTATTAACTAAGATCATAAAGAAAGAATGCTGTGGGGTGGGGTTAAAAATCTTCTAAACTCCTTTAAAATGTCAAGAAAAAGGAAAGTTATAGATGATAATAATTAATTACACGTACTAAGCTTACGGATAAAGTTATAACAGCGTTTATATAGTCTACTTTAAATTTTCCATCAGAACCACAACTATTACAAAAAGAACACAAAAAATCTGTAAATCTACAGGTCTTCCTAAATTAATGTCACACTTTTCAAAATAAATTTGAACCCAATTCTCTTTCTATGGTTACATATTGTCACAAATATCCCCCTCCCTCTTAGATGAAAATATATACATAAAGATCTAGATCTAGGCCTACACAACTGGTTAACGCACAAAGGCCAACAAATAAAGTTAAAATTCTCAGTCGGTGGACTAGACTATTTGACTTCCTGGTTAAAATACAGGATAGAAATCAAACGTTATTTTGCATTAATTAAATTTTATTTCTTAAAAAAAAAAACAACAAATCAATTACGCACTAATATTTAAATTTTAAATTAGTAGATCATGTTAGAAATAATAAAAACAAACTAATTAGTAATGGTTTATTATAAAGCAGCTTTGATATAGAATTGTACTGGAAATTACATACCCGAATAGCTTGCAGACGACAAAGTAAATAACCGTACTTGAGACGTGTTCTCTCCCTTTATCAGACGGAGAAACCCGGCTAAGGGACTCAGTTCCTAGTTATTTATGTCCCTTTGCGTGACTGACATTGCACATACTAACTCGCGTCCTGTACTGTACGCCGGTATTTTAATAGTAAAATTCGTCAATGCAGAATTTTCTGTTTACAATCCATAACGCACAGAGCTGGGATTTCATTGGCTGCGTTAAGAGATGAAGCACCTAAGTGTTTTAATTTTAAAACATCCGTCACTGGTAGGGCTGACACTGTGGTGTGTTTGTATGTGGTTAACAACTTAACATCAGCATACAGCACGTTTAAAAAATTGAGAAGTGTGTAACACAACCGCGCGGTTTTTTTTTCTTCAAGAAAACACACAGAAATTAGAAGCGAAAAGAGTATGTTGCTTTTTGAGAATCTATACATGATATAAAGATGATTTTTTTTCAATAGCAATTACTAGGTGTTTTTTTAAATGAAACATTTTTTCTTTATTAAAAACATGACATTACATTTCATACAATTTAATTTTTTTCTTATATTATTGTGCATAGATTATTTCTTGTTTGTTGGCGTTGTTGTTGCGGTGCTATCATTGAGGCTTGCGATGTCTGATTGCGTCTTTGCATTCTGTGACGTAGCAGTCGTAGCTAGGTCTTCAGTGGCTTAAGTTGGTGGTACTGAGGTTGTTTATTGAAGTGAGTTGAGGTGTGGTGGATTTCATGGGTTTGTCTAATGGTATGTGGAAGAGCACTATTGGCAGGCTTGTTTCCTGTTTGGGACGATTATGTCGACAATTAACAATCTTTCCATAATTTTATGTATTAGAAAAAAGTCACACTTCTTATCCCTCGTTATTTTCTTTGACGCATCTTCATAAAAGACAGCACCTTTCTGTGCGTGACATCATAAGTCGACGACCGCTAAAGTAAAATACACCAACAAATCCAACGAACTAGTATGATCAATTTAAATACATCCTTCACTCTTTCGTGAGGGACAGCAACAGGTTAACCTTTGATTTTAAGAGACCTAGTTCTACCAGTAGTAAGGACCCTGCCAAATTCAAAAGCCTACTGTTTACATTTGCTTTAGTTAGATCTTTGGGCATGCAGGCTATTAAATTTCAAGCGTAGATGGGTAACGCAGAGGGAGAGTAGTTGCAGAGGAAAGGACAAATGCTTTCGCCAGTTCAACTAATGATTCTTCTTCTTCTTCGTTCTTAATTATTAGTGTTGAAGGGGATCGAGATTTATCTGCCAGTGTGGTTGAACTTGAGACTGTTCGAATTTATCAACCATGAGCTCTTTGCCGACTCGACCACGCCTCCAACACAATTAAGCGTTACGTGTCAACTGGTTATGCGCCATTGAGGCCATTGACTCTGATTTCAGCCTGCTTTTCTTTTTGGATTTGCTTCCATAGCCTTTGTCCAACCAAGAACAAACACAACAGCAGTTGTTTGATTTTGGAGTTGTCTCTCCTAGAAGAGTGGCTGTCCCTAGATAACGAGCCTCATCTGCCCGAGGGTTCGAACTCGAGACTTTTCGGTTTAGCAACCATGAGCTTTATCGACTCGACCACGCCGACCCCAACTAATGATTTATTTAAGTAAAATATTTTAAGTTGACGATCCACAGCAAAGGGGGGGGGGGGGGGTTGATACCATGACGTAAACTTGCTAACAGTAGAGAAAACAATGCTACATCCAACATTAATAATAACCGACTATAGATAAACATCACTACTATTAAGTGTGCACAGCTTAAAGCTACCTTCTGGAGGGGGAACCAAGTGGTTGTAGAATGACATAAACTACAACATTTTCAGAGGGAAATTTTTTTAGCGCAATTTCCATTCTGGAGAATTGCGTTTATTAACCCGTCATTTCTGGATGGATGGATGGATGGATGGATGAATGTGTGTCCGCAGCTTTAAGTCGTATCTCCTCCTCAACGAAGCAATATCGATGACTAGTTCCAAAAGCAATTATGTTAAGCAAGTTACGAGGATGAACATAGGCCATAAAAATTCCGGGTTTCTTTCATGGATTTCCCAGAAAAGCCAAAAAATCTCGAAAAAAGCAGTTTTTGGCCCATATCTCGGCAACCAGACCACTTAGCGACTTGAAACATGTACCAATCGATTCCTGTCATAATTTAGAACAATATTGCCGAAGAAAGTTTTCAAAAATATTCTCTCGTTCGGTCACAAATTTTAAAATTACATAAACACCTACAAACCGATTGTTCTTCTAGCTTGAACGCACCCCAACATTATACGTCAGAGCTATTTTTAGATAACATAAGGAAATTGCGCACAAATGTCACTAGACTTTTTTAATTAACTTGTTTTTTTAAATTTTAGTTTAAATAAGATTCACAAATCAGGTGTAGATTGTTAATTAAAACATGTTACTGAGTAATGCTTACTTCCCTTTTTACTATGTGCCAATTTACCATAGGCTTACACCAATGTTTTCTACAATATTTCATGAGGACAATATAACAAGCTAGTGAACGCATTTCTTTCAACCTGAACTAAAATAACACACTGATGACATAAATGTAAACATACAACATACATATTGTTTCAATATTTTATTGTAAATTATGGCACAATTTGTCTATATTTAAGACAAAAATTCAACAAAAGCCAAAAACAATTTTCATTTCATAACAATTATTTATTACAATTTTATGTTACTTAATAGTAATTTAGCATTTAGAAAGACAGAAACTTTGCAGTGGCAGACAATGGGCAGAGGTTTAGCTAAACAATGTACATAAACATTTTTTAAAAAGGTAACAGATCTTTATAGTTTGAAAATTTGAAAAGATCAACTACTATTCACCATTTCATTATTCTTTGAATAGGAAATTTAAATTTTTTTTTTACTTCTTTCTAATCTATACTTAACAGGAATTACTTTTTAAAAGGTGTAATACTATATAGCAGGAGATAAATTGAAACAATTGCAAACAATTCTACCAAGGCACCCCCATGCAGTACGCACTAACAAAGGCACACAAATAGACAATGGTAAAAAAATGTGTTTCATCTAAAATCAGGGGATAAAATACATGTGAAAATACACGGGGTTAACAAAAACAAACCCTAACATACATTGCACTTTTAGTCGAAACAATAAATACTAATGGCTTTAAGTATTTAATAATCTTTTCCTGACTAGCGGTTTAATTGTTCATTTGTTTGAAACACAAATGACCTTTACAGTGAGAATTATTAAAATTGTTCATAAAGAAAATCCCTATCTTATTTGTGTGGTGTTACATAAACTTACATCAACAAGTATTAATGTATACATAAACAGAAACAAAATAATTTGTTTTTACATCAAAGCTTACCCTTATGTGTACATAGATGGAAATAAAAAGTGATTCACACAAGAACAGCAAACAATACTTCAGTTTAAAACTTGCAGGTAACATCTTAAGTCCATTCTCTCCAAGCACAATTAGACTGTATTATCTTTTTTGTTTAACTAACCAATGACCAGCAGGAACCATAACCCACTATCATGAGTTGGACGGCAGAGTTCTCTTTAAATACCACAGGGCAGAAACACAATCACAGTGATCCTGAAATAAAAGTTTAAGCCGTTAAGTCTTATGGTTTTTATCAACATTTTGTGTTATTACATTTTATAACCTTGCAATGTCGTTCTTCATTCTTAATTGTGGTGTTGGAAGAGATTCCCTCCAACACAATTAAGTATACGTGTCAACTGGTTATGCACCATTGACTCCAATTTCAGCCTGCTTTTCTATTTGGATTTGCTTCCATACCCTTTATCCAACCAAGAACAAACTACAAGGCAGCAGTTGTTTGATTTTGCAGTTGTCTCTCCTACAAGAGTGGCTGTCCCCAGCTAGCAAGCCTCATCTGCTCAAGGGTTCAAACTCAATACTTTTCTGTTTAGCAAGTATGAGCAGTACTGACTCGACCACGCTGACCCCCAACAATGTCTTTAAGCTTCAACAGATTTGTGACCCCCACTTAACACATATTGCCAAAGTATCGCCTTGGTAATGTCGGCCAAAACAGACCTGGTCTCATTTTTTGTTACAAATTTTCATGGACATTTCAACAACGTACCTTTTCAAAAATGTATATTTTAATTGGTTTTCTGTTGCCAATTCTACAGTGAGAGTGATCAGACTATAACAACTACATAAGAAATAAGTGACATTTTTTGTGACTTACTTTGAGGAATTTCTTTAATTCTGTTTCATTAATTTCAATACCTGCATCTTTTAATTTGTTGCGAAAAAGATTACTTCGAAGTTTATATGTTTCTTCAAACATGCTAAAAAGAATTTTTCGCATCTGAAATAAAACAAAATACAATCTATGATATCATGTAAAGTTAAAATGAGATCAATGGAATAAAAACCATTTCCAAGAAAGAAATTGCGTATTTTGAATAATATACAAGTTCAGCAGGGGAAATTTATGTAAATGTCTCTTCTTTGAACTAAGAATGAGCATGTTTACAAGAAAATTAATAAGAAACAAAGATGCTGCTGGTGCCACAACTATGGATTTAACCAGATCTCTTGACGATAAACTAGACAAGTAAAAGCACTGTTCAATTTGTACGTTATTTCAAAAACTAATAAAACGGAGAAATAGGTTAATTTTACGTGTGGTGAAATACGATTACAAAATATAGGATGAGCAAAAGACTAAATACCTGGTCAATTCTTTCATTTCCTGTCAAACATGCAAACATTGGTTCTGCTTTCCGGCTTGGTGGCCACTAGTGAAAAAAATTACATCTTTTAGCACTTTATACAAGTGATAATGCCAGTAACTACACTAACAAAAGCCTATGTGTGGCTAAAAACAACCAGTATTTAAATATTTACTAAATATAATTGACTATAGCTATTTATTGTATATCAAAAATATAGCTTTGCCCAAGATTCATAAGAGGTTTTTCTTTATTACAAAAAAAAAATCCTCCCTTATATTCTAAAAAAAAGTAAAAAATTTTTTTTTACCTGGTTTTTAATTCTTATTCCCCCAACAGCTGTGACAGCGTCTTCAATCATTTTGTCAGACACACCAGAGTTAAAAACATGAGCAGAAGCAACCCTCGCCGTATACATTGACATCTTGCCACGCAATTCAGACATACACAACGTCGGACACTCTGATAGTGCCCCTTTCACAAACTTTTCTAGTTCCGCCATAATTTTAGAATTGTTTGTGCAAGTTTGAGAATCGTCCTTTGAATCACATCCATTTGAAATTACACCCTGAGCATGAATGGCACCATTTATTGGAATGTCTAGAATATTCCGGCAAGCAGGACTCTCCAATATTTTTTGTTTTTCGTGATGAAATTTGTCATGGTGATGAGCCTTGTCACCCAGTGCATCGACTTCCATGTCACTCAGATCAGATTGGGACCGCCCACTCAGTGTTCTTTTACGAGGAGAGCGACTAGAGAGACGTCTTGTTCTGTGTCTGTCTGTAGGCTGCTGGTTCATTAAAGCCATTTCTAATTCTATTGTATGAATAAATTTGAATGCATTTATTATATAAGTTTTCATTAAAGATATCAATAAAACTATTGACTGAAGAATAGTTTTAGTTAAAAATAAAACAACATAAAATCATTAACAGTAAGATTGCTGGTAAGTGGAACAAAATCACCTTCATTAAAACAGAGAATAGATTTAAAAGCCATAAATACCTAAAGCCTTCTTGTCCCCATCTTTAGGCATTTTAAAATGCTGAGCTAATGTATGGAATGTTAATGCCCACTTATTTCTTTGTCTTTGAACTATCTCAGGATGTCTAGAAATGAAAAAATAAAGAAAACAACTAAATAATCCTTTTAAAAAATCCTGTTGAAATGTACAAGATTATATTTTAAAGCTTAAGAATAGTTTAATCTCAACTTAAATTAAAGATTAAGAACTTTCTTATTTGGTAAAGGTACATTTTGTCTACTAAAAAAAAAAAACCACTATTACCTCTCACAGAAATCCCTGTCATAGTCATACAAAAACTCCCAACCACTTCTGGCTTTTAACCTGGACAATTTTTCAAGAATTTCTTTCACCTCATCAGAACGCAGCTGTAAAAAAAAACAACAGATTATGTGGGTATGTTTACTGCATTGGAAATACTAAATCTCAATAAATAAGTGTAAGTTAGAAAATAATAAAAAAGATAATCCAAACAATGAAATGTATAAAGCAAACAGTCTTTAAACAATTATGTGTAGGAATAGAATGAATTTTATAAGAGTACTAGACACTTTATGGGACAGAGTGGTCTAGCGGTAGAGAGCTGGACTGCTAACCCGTAAGTCTCGAGTTCGAATCCGGGTTCAAGTCAGTAGACCGTCCCTGAGTCAACCCAACTCTAATGGGTACCTAACTCATGTTAGGGATAGTAAAGGCGGCTTGGCATAGTGCTGACCACACTATCTCTTCATGTGCCGAGGTCACAGAAACAAGTGAACCCTACTTCATTTGCCCCATAGACCGTCAGATTTGAAAGGGAAACTTTACTTTTTACTAGACACTTTGATGGAAAAATTAAAATTAAATATCACAATACTTTGTGTTCATTTTTAATAATAGTTACAATAACACTTTATACTCTTAAACATTTTTTTAAAGAAATAAAAGGTAGCATCATTACTACAAAAAAACCAACCTGTACTATAGAGGAGATATCCTTTCTTACAACGTGTTTATTATGTGTAAACTTCCACATCTGGGAAAAAAAAATTACACGCTTTATTCCTTTGTCAATGTCTTCAGATTTAGTTCTACTTAAATAAATAAATTAAGTTGAAAAGATCAACTCCGCTGCAAATAAAAGCTATAAATGTTTATCAGTGTTCATGAGTGTCAATGTCAAATTTTTATCACATTGAAAGGGTGACCATCACAATAGTTTTTACCTTCCCATCAGGTATCTATCTGATGATAGAAACGATCCTTCATATTCACATTATTTTATTTCAGCCTTTACACAGGTAAATTTAACAGGCAGTAGCATAATAGTTAAAATGTAAAATTCCCCCCCCCCCCCCCCCCCCCAGAATGCAGACTTGGATAGTTTTAAATACATTAAGTGTTACCCATCATGTCTCTGCATGTTTATTGTAACATTAAAAGAACTTACAGCATAATCTCTAACTCTCCTCATTAGCTCAGGGGACACTGTGCTGTGTGATTTCTTTTTGCGAGACAGTTCTTCTTTATCTTCATCTGGATACAGCAGCTCGCTACAAGATCACAGGATAAGAACACTTCATGACAAATAACATTAAAATGACATCACAGAGTAAAAAAATAAAAACTCATACAAATCAAATTTCCTTGACCAAAACATTGGTGCATTAGCCCCATTTAACTGTCAATGTGCATGCTTTGTGATTTAGAATAACAGATTCAACAAAACTAACCTTCCAACAATGAAATGTGTTTAACAACTACACAATATCAACAAAAACCAAATGAACAAAACCTCTAACTTTTAACAAACATTTGTTTAACAACTACACACTAATAACAAATCCCCAACCTTAATACAGCTTCTATGACAACAAAAACTATATTAAGCCACACGTTAAACAAATCAAACCTTTTAACCACCCAGCATCCTTGAACTAACACAGCCATGCCCTGCAGAGATCTAAGAACTGCTTGGTGATCTGTTCCAGGTGCCAGGAAACTCATCAGCTGGTTGAACCGTATCACTTTCACTGTGTAATTAAATAGTAATCTTATAACCTCCACTGTGTAATTAAATGTTAATCTGATCACAAAACAATGTTACCAAAATAGGTACGATAAGGGTGTATAAAATATGAGTAGCATTAGCAATTAACTATAAGCTAAATCTAGCTAATGTTTCAAACATTTGAACAAACAGATCCGTAATTAAAATCAATTATATCAAATATTAAAAAAAAAACCAAAAAAAAAAACCCCAAAGCTTACCATTAATCAATAAAGCCCTAATTTGATCATTTAGATCAAGTTTTCTAAGCTCATTTAGTGACAGCACATTGTCAGGCATAGCTGGTTTCTCACTGTAAAACATTAATTTAGATTCTTGTTCAATAAAAGAATGGACAGTAACAAGTTAAATCATAACCATTAAAGTCAGGATTTAACACACACAAAAATTGCTGCCTAATAGCTAACATATTAAGAAATAATTTTTAAAAAAAAACTAAAATTAAAACATTCTACAGGAATGTAACACTAAAATTACATAAATTGCCAACTTGAAAAACATTTTACAATTATAAAGTATCAAACAATTGTATATATATGGTACCTTTTGTCTTCACTGGATGGTGGAATAAGTGCCTGTAGATACTCTTGGGGTGAGATCTTGAACTGTGAAACTCTTTGTGCATCAGATGCATGTAGCTGTTGTCTTTCTGCTTCAGCCAAACCAGACTGAAATGGTAGGGTGTATAATTGTAGCAATGTAATCTGCTAGAGTAAAAGCTAAGTTTAAATGTGAAAAAGCTTATATAATAGTGTCAAGTATTTGGAACATTGGAACACTGCAAAGATTCTATTTAAAAAACCTATCACGATTTTATATTGTAATTTTAAGACTGAATGTAGTCTTTAGAAACTTGTACCATATAAATATAATATATATGCAATATCAAATATTATTGTTAAACTAATAGAGTAAATTAATAATAGTGAAGAAAAATAAATGAAAAATATTTAGACGGTTTAAGACTTTTTAAATACATTTCTAGCTGATAAGAACAAAACAGTTTTAATGAAATTAATGAAGTAGTTAATACACAAATTGATTTAAAAAGATAACATACCTCGGAAGTGTGAAAAGACACATTTATCCACCTTTCCTCTTCCCTCTTCTGAGCAACATATTCATAGCTAGCCATCCTCCTTGCTTTAAACTCCTCACTCTCACCCCTGGAAACTTTCATATTTATAGGTGTGGCTTCTTCTTCAGCCTCATCTTGTGATGATTCACCTTTAGAAAAAACAACAATAGTATGCTTCTTTTTAGGTGAAAGTCCAAAGCAAAGCAGAAAAAAAAGTTAAATACAAATAGTGTATACCTCCATCTGCAAAGCTTGTACTAGCAGCTTCTGTTCTGTGCCTTGTATCAGCTTTATCCAAGTAATCAAAACCTGGTCTCATTTGTACAGCTGCGCTCATTGGAGTTAAATGTAGTTCACCTGTGTAGAGAAGATAGGAAAAATTGTTCCACAAACTAACAATGAATACAGATAACATCCAATCTAATAATTTTAAAAAATTGTTAAAAATTGGAATTTTTTAAAATTCATTTATGATAAATATTATTCTCATCAAAAACACACACAAGAATTTTAGCAAATTAATGAGTAATGTGTAAATGGATGATAAAATTCAATCAAATAATACTCACCGTCCTTAAATAGACCTATGGCATACTGGCAATTTGTAAATGACTTAACATAAGGCTGGCATGACAAAACTATTTTGTCCATTTTTGAGCTGAAATTGTAGGATAACAATATATTAACATTTCAACACAGTAGTACCTCAACAATATCATAGTTAGTTGAATGTAAAACAATATTATCTTTTTCTAATTAAAATCAGACGTAACTAGAGAAAGACATACCCAACAAAATAACGATCAGCAGAACTTTGTGGAAGATTACCATCAACATTAAGTGCAATTTGTTCTCCTTTACTTGTAGAATAATTCTTGCTGTATGGATCCAATGCTAGCTCCATTTCTACCTGTAAATTTCATTGTGGATTAATATACACATTTTAAAAACAATATACTTAAGCGATTAAATTCTAAACCAATGATTTTTGGAAATATCAATGATGGATGAAAATGTAAAGCCAAGACATTTACCCTTTTTTGTTGTGGTTTGACTCGAGCACTTATATGATCAAAATGGCTGTATCCCATATTTTGTGGTCTAAGTGGATACTGTGAGAAAATTTACATTGGGAATAGTATCACAATTGAAAAACAATTTAAAAGGTTTATGTAGACTTAAGAATAAGTAGATAAGCATCATTTAATATTTTAAAACTAACAATAGGGCTTACAATAAACTTTTAATAAAACAATTTAAGAGAACTACCTGCATAAGATAAAGATTTTCAGACAAGCTTTTTGATAAAAACACGTCAATCTGAAATAATATTTTAAAAGCTTTTATTTAAATTCAGTAATATGCTATATTTAAAAAGACACCACATTTTCAGGATTTCTCTGACAGCTGTGAAATTTATTTATTGAATATCAATTATTTCTGGCCCAAAGTCAGCTTGGTGTTTTGTGAATTTATAATGGATATACTAAGATACTTTGCTATTAGTATAGTTAGGTCAGAATTCACGTCAGCTGTATGGCCAAAAACAATACATAATTCTATAAATAGACCTAGGCCTATATCTATATGTAGGGACAGTGTGGCCTAGTTGTAGAGCGCTATGCTACTAACCCAAAAATCTAAAGTTCTAATCCGGGGTGAAGTCAGTTTTAGTCAGGGGAACGTCTTTGAGTCCAGCCACCCGTTCGAGAAAGTAAAAGTAGCTGGGCATAGTGCTGACCACATTTTCCCATTATATGCCATGCTCACAGGAAAAGTACATCTAATTCTAGATCTGATCTATTCTAAAATCTATAAAAATCATCAAACATTTGCAACAAAAATTTACACTTAGGCCTAGAATCCTAGAGAAGAATCTAGATCTACATGTCATTACAAATTACAACAATTAAAAATACGAAGTGTCTACTCGGAATAAGATTTTTCGGCAAAAGATAGTTCTGCGCATGCGCAGTGACCTATGGCTAGGGTTAGGGCTAGAATGAGGGTTAGGGCCTAGGGGTAGGATAGGGTTAGGGATAGGATTAGGGCTAGGGTTAGGGATAGGATTAGGGTTAGGGTTAAGGATAGGATTAGGGTTGGTATTAGGGTTCTGCGGTTGTAAACACACGCATGCGCAGTACCATCGAAAACATCGCCGCTAAGGCAAGTCGTAGTTTCTCTCCATTGCGCATGCGTATCACATGCGTATCTTATTCCGACTAGAATCGGCCTTAAAAATAATAAAATAGATCTAGATTCTAGGCCTATGTGCATAGAATCTAAGAACTAAGATCTGAATCTAGTCTTGCTAATATAGTTAAGTATAGTGCTACTTAGTACTAGATCTAGACTAGTAGACTAGTCTAGATCTAGTAAGTGTAGGCACTAGTTTCACAGTGAATTTCACACTCACACTGTACTCTGTACTCTGTACTGTGTGTCAGACGCCGCTACGACTACGACACCAGTGTGGCGATTTGCCCATAGGAAAAAACATAGATCAACCTATTTACTTGGTACATTTAATTGTATAGTTTAAATGTCTGATTTTATTGATGTATCAGATATAGAACGAGACATTCTTACAGTAAATAGTCTGTTTCGAGTTAATTACCTCTTCGACGACAGGGTCCTCTTCCAGATCATCCGCCATGGTTGCAACGATGTTGCGTGCTGAGTGTATGGTGATTTGAGTTTACCTCAAGCGGTGGATTCGATACTTGCATTTTGAACTCGATTTCTCTGAGTGTGTCTTCCAAACCAGCGGGCCGAGCCTGATGTCTAACTAACTTGACCACATAGGCACTAAGAATGTGATTGAATATAAACTTATAAATACATTGTACTTCATTTCCCAAATTATGTTCTGAAGGAATGTCCTTTATTTTTACAATTCATCATATTTGGCGATTCAATCGAAATTAGGGCGGAAATTGATAGTCAAAATGAAAAGAAATGAGATACAAAAAAACAACAACACATGTTTATCTTATTATGATACATTTCCCTCCCCGACTGGTTCAGAGATAACGTTCTGCTAAGGGATTTAAACGGTCCATTCAAAATATCATTATCAATATCTCCAAAAACTAGATCTAGGTGTATATAAAAGTCTATATTTTAGCAACCTTGGCCCAGCACAGAGGCGTAGCGACCCTTCCCGGCGCCCGGGGACAAACTTTTCGATTTGCACCCCTCCTCGAGATTTCGATTTGCACCCCCCCCCCCGCCCTCAAACTTTCGATTTGCACCCCCCCTCAAACTTTCGATTTGCATCCCCCCCTCAACCTTTCAATTTATTTTTCCAACCCATTTTGGCGCCCCCTAAGGTCGGCGCCCGGGGACGTATGTCCCCCCCCCCTTGCTACGCTACTGGCCCAGCATACAAGGTGTATTTTTTTTAGAAACAATGGGCGGGGGGGGGGGGTTAACATAAGTCATCTCAAAACTGGGGGCTAGTATCTATAATACTATAATTGATTTTATAAAATCTATATGATATTTTATTCTTTAACAAAATCCCTGCCATAAAATCGTTTTAAGTAATAACTATGGACGGATAGTTCAGACGGACATTATTGTATATTAATTGTATAGAAACAAATTTTTGAACATCAGTAGTAGCAGTAAAAAAATTACTATACATTGAAAGTCATGTGACAATATCACATGATGTGTTTCCCTTTCAACTTTTTTAGGAAACAAACACGGATGCAAACAAGTTAGTCTAGTGAAGTTACTTAGGCTAGCCTAGGATCTAGATCTAGTCAAATTGAGGAATTTCCCAGTCATTTGTATCCTATATCTAATTTTCAGCATAAAAAAAAATCGTAGATGCCTTTACAGTTAAAGTAATTTTGAAAGATGGACGATCAGGACGAAAACACCCCTTTAATAAGAAGCCAGGAAACGCCAGAAAATTACTCAAGCCGATTTCACTCTCAAAATTTTAATCATGGACAACCTACTTCTTCATTAAGTCCAAATGTGAGTACTAAAGTAAAGCAGTCAAGTACTGAAGTAGAGCTAGATATAGTATTTTTTAACGAAGTGACTAGTATTCAGGGTATTTTTTAATTCACTAGAGTAGATTTCCTCTGAACGGTCAAGCCTTGTAACGGTCGTCTGTTACTGTTTATTGCTTCGTATAATAATTGTTTGGATGTTTTATACGAAACTATCTGTATCTACTGTACACTTGTCCATTTCTAAATATATCCAGGTCAAGTTCTTTTGTTTTCTCCTTCTGGAAGACAAGTTTTTAAATTTTTAAGTTGAGGTATGACGTCAGCCGGTGATCCCAGTTCCCCCGGATGAAAACACTAGGTCCGGGATGAGACAAATAAAACCAACCAATCAAAGTTTATAAGTTTTTCTGTTGTTTTAAATTATTTCGATCATCTACTTCTTCTAGTACTAGTTTGTGTCTCCACATACGAGCATGTCTAAGCAAATGTTAGGTTTGTCTTGTTAGAAATTGTTACGTCCCTTTATGATTATTAAAGTTGCGTCCCTTGAGTTATCACTGGGTCATCCGTGATGTGTAGTTAATAAATTTAATTAAAGTGTTTTCTATTTGGTGTTGCTATCTATTAATTAATAATACAATCAACATGTTTAAAGTTGTAAATTATTTATTTTAGCTATTAAAATTGGATTAAGACGTATAAAATACGATCGTTACGTTAGCAGGAAAAAGTTTGGCAATCAAGAAAAATAAAGGGGGGAAAAATATCGCAAGAAGGCACGTCACTAAAACATGAATATCTCAAATAATATGTGTAGGAATACAAAATGACTCATACATATTAGAGTAGAATGGCAGCGGAATAATACGATACTTTCAGTTTGTTTCTGTGTGAAAGGGTTACAAAATAGCGCCCGATGAAAATCGGGAGTTCGGAATTTTTTTGCTATGTGTGACCGCGTTAGGAAACCTACTCTAGATCGCAAATATACACAACACTCAACACATTACTAATAAACTCTAATCTCGCAGTAAGAAAATGAAGCACTGTTTATTAATTTGGTTTTAGCCATCTACTGATTGAAAATTCCTATTATTTCAATTGCTAAGACATTGGATGTGGCAGAGTCAACAGTGGGGCAGCTAACTTCGATAACCTTTGAGCTCAGATTTCAAATTCGATATTTTATTAAAGTTTAAAACAAAATATCCAAATATAATATAGCCCCTAGCTTGATCAATAACTAATGTTTTCTTGTCCATTTTTCGAAGATCCCAGCGGGGTCACTGTGAGTTCAGCAGACCTTTAGCATAGATTGAACAAATTACAATTGCTATATAAAATCGTCGTTAACGTCATATCTCCCCCTATTTAAGCAAATTTATAAACAGGCCTACTTCTGCTCATTTTTTTAAGTTCACATAGGCATACTTAGTACCATGCATGCACGATAGCTGTGTAAAACACTTAAATTACGCATGAACAGTTTTATCTAGCTAGATGTATCATCTGACCTAATACTGAATGTACTGTCTTTTTGTAAAGACTTGATCTAGATTCTATTCTTTTTTAACCTGCACCTAACTTTGGTGTTGAAATAAGTTTGAAATAACACACTTTATGTTCACATTGAATTGTTTGGACGAAAAAAATCAGACAGTCCTGATATGTATTTTTAGATCACGTTAGACTTAGTGAACAGATATAGCAGACCAGCACGAAACGCACAAATGCAGCCACTTTTTAGCAGCATATCATTTCAACTTGCAGCATTGTTTCGCCAAATAATTAGCAGGCCATTGGTCATACCAAAATTTTATATAGATAGCACATGCAGCCACTTTTTAGCAGCATATCATTTCAACTTGCAGCATTGTTTCACCAAATAATTAGCAGGCCATTGGTCATACCAAAATTTTATATAGATAGCACATGATCTAAACCAGGGGTCTCCAAACGTTTCAGTCCGAGGGCCGCATCAACTATCAAATTTCAGTTCCGGGGCCAGTTTCTTCCAGTCATGTCTTTGAATTTTCTGGGCAAAGTTCCTCAGCCATCACCAACAAACGTTTTTCCGTGAACAAAAAGATCTCCGCGGGCCGGATGAGAGGACATCGCAGGCCGCATTCGGCCCGCGGGCCGTAGTTTGGAGGCCCCTGATCTAAACTATAAATTCAAGTATTTCTTAAACTGATATTTTCTGGATTTAAATGCATTTTAGCGCACTATTTCAGACTAAATGCAGTGTCAAAATAAGAGGGCCATTTTTGTGTGCATATACTAGGTATTATAATAACATTTTTAACTAGGCCTGCCCGTTTTTTGTACTGTTCAGCTAAGGTTCCAGTCCTGTTTTATTCAGGAAATGTATTCTAATAATAATTCTTCAAGTCCTTACATCTACACTTTCAAATGTTATCGGTTAGCTGTGTCTAGATGGATATATATTTTTATTTTGAAAAATGTATTTTTGAGTTCCTTTTTTCATTTTTAAAAATCTTTCAGTCAACAACAATCAATGCTGAACCTAATGATGGCATTGAGAGCAGCATTATCTTTGAGGACAATTTGAACAGAAGAAACGATTTGGAAAATAATAGTATATCACATAAAAAAGGAGTTAATGTTGGTCAAGAGCATTTACTAAAGTTTGGATTTCAAGTGAGTTGTTTTTCATTTTTGTTTTAATTAAGGAAGTATAGCACTCGAAGGATCTCTTAGTGTAGAGAAGGTGTTAAAAAGATACCACACTTTCAACATTACACACATCTCTAAAAATTCATCATTGTTTTTTTTTGTGTCTTCAAGAGTCTTGATTATGAAGTATCAGACAATTTAGTATATCAGAATGAAGAGAGAGAAAAAAGTTCAAAGAAATGGGTAAGTGTCTGCATTCATCAAAAAATAAATTTGTATTTTCTAACTTTATGTAAAGATTGCTTAACAGTTTTACGCTGAAGGCTATTCATGTTTTTTAATAGTGTTTCAATTCAGAATAGTTTAAATGTATGATTTGGAGGCTTTACATGTAAACTGAAGTTTTTTGTTTTCTCTTTTAAGAAACTGTATATGAGAGGGGTGCTGCGATGGATTATCTGCTTATTGATTGGTGTTCTAACTGGCCTCACTGCAGGGTTAATTGACTACTGTGTTGAGCAGATGTCTAGTTTGAAATTTCAAACCATACAACAATGTATCCTTTTTTTTTGTAGTTTGATTTTTTTCTCTTAGGTTCTAGAATTTGAATTACGAGTAGTAAAGCTGATTTTATACAAAATTTGTACACATGTTTAGTAATTTTCATCACCTTGTTATTATATTTTAGATTATTTAAAAAATGTTCGTTGGTGTAATTTCATGTTAAGATTTAGATGTATGTAGTTTTGTGCTATGAACCTTAATTTTAAACAGTGGTTGACAAATGTGTCAATTATGACTGTATGTACCTACCACAAATAGTTTGGTACTCTTTTAATATGGGGCTTGTTGTGGTTGGCTCCCTTCTGACAACTTACATTGAGGTAATCTCAAAAATTATTTCATTAAAATTAATCTTGTTTTCAGAAAAAAACTGTACTTCTATTAAGTTCTCTTTGATCGTTCTATAATTAACACAGGCTTGATTATTATCATAGTTTACATCTGCAACAAAATGTTTTATTTTCAGCCCGTTTCTGCTGGTAGTGGTATCCCACAGATAAAGTGTTACCTGAATGGTGTTATTGTGCCCCATGTTGTGCGGTTGAAAACTCTGATCACAAAAGTTATTGGAGTGGTTTGTGCTGTAGCTGGTGGACTTGCAGTAGGCAAGGTAACTTTTTAAATGTTTTTAAATATGCTCTTAACTCAGAATCTTTAGTACATTTTTTATCTTTTTATATTTAAAACTTTCAGTATCTAAAATACAGAAGTCTTTAACAGAATGTGATCATTAAATATATTTCTAGATCTATTAAAAGATTAGAGTTGAATTATAAAATTTTGCTATATTTGGATATATATTTGTTTTGTTGTTAATGTTTTATGTAGACTGAAATGCATGTTTTAATTTAGGAAGGACCAATGATTCATTCAGGTGCAGTCATAGCTGCAGGTGTATCCCAAGGAAGAACAACATCCTTAGGCTGGGATTTTAAGGTAAGTTTATGTCCATTAATTTGATAAATATTTTTTAAAAAACCCAGATTTTTTATTATCGAAATGCCAAATTTGCAATCACACTTTTGTGTGCTGATGAAGACATTGTGTTGAAACTAATTTGTTACAGTCATCCCCCCCCCCCCCCCCCATATGTGTTTTTTTCACTGTTAAAAAAAATGGGCTATATTTGCATCTATCATATTTTATTTGTACCTATCAAATTATCATGTTTGTCAAGCCTTCAAATGTTGTTGCGATGTATATGTTCAGCTTAAAACTTGTTTCAGATTTTTCAAGAGTTCAGAAGTGATACAGAAAAACGTGACTTTGTGTCTGCTGGTGCTGCAGCTGGTGTCTCTGCTGCCTTTGGTGCTCCTGTGGGGGGTGTTCTCTTCAGTTTAGAGGAGGGAGCCTCATTCTGGAACCAGTCTTTAGTTTGGAGGATAGTGAGTAAAGTTTTACTTTATTAACATTTACCTTCCATGATATTCTGTTTTCATACAGTCTTCAATTATAATATGACCAACAAAAACATTTATTTTTAAATTCCTTAGTAATAGTTTTTTGTGTTTTTATTTGTTTAAATGTGTTTGTATTGTTTTTTAAAATATATTTCTAAATGTTAAATGTTTTAGAATAATTAATGTTGTTGTTGTTTTTATTTTACTGTTAACAATATAGGCCTATTTCATGTCTTTACTTGTAATTTCATTTTATTTTTTGTCTTCAGTTTTTTGCATCTATGATTTCAACAATGACATTGAACATCATTCAAAGCTATATTAAAAGTATTCCATGGGAATTTTCAAATCCTGGTCTGATCAACTTTGGTACTTTTGATGTAAGTGTTTGATATACTTTTAATTCTAAATTCTTTTTTCATATTTTCTGTATAAAATTTTACAGGGTCCGTAGCAGACCTTGAATCCTTGAAAAACCCTTGAATTCCAAAAAACATCTCAAGGCCTTGAAAAACCCTTGAATTTCCCCAAAAATGAGCAAAACCCCTTGAATTTTATAGGTAAACCTTGAAAACCGTGCGTAAATCGAATTTTAAAAAAAAATTCAATTCTGATGGATCTAAACTTTTTCTGCCTTTATTTTATTTTAGCCGTGTGTCTGCGTTAACTTCGGAGTCTACTATTTCCAACCCTCTCCTTCGCTGAGCCTCGCGGTATGACCTCAACCTGACCAGTTTTGCATAGGCTCTTCCTAACCTAGATTCTAGATCGTGACGTAAACGATAGCCGAGGGCTAAATTTAGCATCGTTTTTCGGATATCTCCGTTTACGACCGAGTTACTAGATTCTAAATCTAGATTCATTGTTTTCTGTTAGGGCCTACCTACTTGTACGGTTTTGTCCGTAATTTTTTGATTTTGACACCCCTGTTGCGGAATTAGGCCGCAAATGTTACGCAAAAGCCCACAGTAAACATCAAACTCGATTTAGTGTTGACCTTTTTTTTTTCTGTGTTAAATTTCCGTGTTATCCGGTTCTATGGATTCAAACATCTTCAATCATAACAATCGTCCCCCAAATCCCTTCCTGACAATATCTCGGCAGTCGTTGGCTCTATTTATATTGTGAACTTTATTGACCCCGCGAGTGGTCTGTTGTCTCCTGATCGGTGATGTCCGTAAAGAAAAAAATTGGAATGTGGCCTAAATCATTAAAATTCTGGTCGCGCATGGAAATTATCTCGATTATAATTAAACCTACATCTAGAACTAATATTTTTTCTTCAAGAAAATAAGCCTTAGGTTTAAATAAAAAAAGAATAGCCTGAACTATGCGAGCGTAGGTTTCTATTTATTTAAATTAAAATTTTCTCGGTGTGGGTAAAACACAAAAGGGCGAAACGTAGCTGCGGAATTACGGGTAAATAGCGAGACATAATTTATAGAATTATTGTGTTCTGTTATTTTAGATGTGTGAGAAGACACGTTTTTAGTAAGTTTTTACGAACCTAGATCAATCACGGTTCTTTGTGTACCCCACGATAGCAGATGTTTCGGTCACTGCGACCTTAGAAGGTCTTCTAGCTCTATCTCAACTTACAGTGACCTCGCAGTATATTAATAATTAATATAGTCGTGGATCTAGATCTAGATTTTTAACTATTAACCAACAAGTTTTCCTAATACCAATAGGCATATTTATCACGTTCGTTAAAAAAAACCAATTGCAAATGACGTAATCGTCAATCTTACGTGGGCTATGGACCAAATACACATTGACTGTATCAGATGGGTGAGGCTGTAGACAGAACTTTTTGATGTCATTCTTGACGTGGCTGTCTGGTTATTTATGACGATAGAGGTTGGGGTAAAATTCGCATTAATTATGTGACGTCATCAATGGGCTACTCCTAGGCTGTGTAATTAAAAAAAACTAAATCCTAACATTACCAGCTCATTAGCATCGCCGATTGTCTTCTTAAAAAAAGGAAAGATTTTGCGCCGACGTAAAAAAAAATTTGTATTTATCAAAAGAAAAGAAAAATAATTTGAAGGACTATGACTGTGCTTTTTTCACTCAACTTTACGGACACTTTTTACCACCTCTTACTTCAAGGTCGCGCTGACCGTAAGACCTACGACATGAGACCACGCGCGAGCACAGTCGTGTGACTCGTGTCTCACGGTCAAGGCAGTTCTACAAACGCTGTTTATCTAATTTTAACGTGGTTATCTTTAATATTGGGCTTACTGCTAGATTAAAGCGAAAACAAAAACTAGATCTGCATCGTTTTAGGTCATTGAACAAAATATGTAGGTCTGCTATAATTTAGTTACACCATTTAGCAGGGTCTAGATCTAATTGATTTTTACTGTGGTAAAACGTCCTTGAAATGTTTAAGAAGCCTCGAATTACTGTGTTTGAGAAAATTGCCGCTGTCACTGCCCCCTCCCATCCGCTTGTAAAAAAAAAATCCGCTTTTCACTTTGTCGGGCGGCTACATCTCTAACATGAGTATTACTAGCGTAGTTACTTGTGAAATTGTAAAAAAAAAAAACTTAATTCTGTTATTCCGCGATATGAACTAACTTAAAACTTCCACGATATTTCTTTACGTCATCATGTATAATAATGTATATCATAGGTGGGGACATTGGGGTCGTCCATAAATGACGTCACACTCGTAGGGGGAGGGGGGATCCGTAATCGTGTGACGGTGTGTGATGAGGGGATGGGGGGGGGGGGTCAGATCGTGTGACATCACACTTTTGCATTATTAAAAAGCAATGTTAGAAAACGAATTTTAGCATTTTAGAAAACTGTTTTAATAAATTGTAAAAGGAATTGATTAAATACTCTATTTTGACAGAGTTCAGACAAGATTTTGGGGAAAAAATCCTATTTTAAGAAAAATTGAACTGCAGTCAAGGGGGGGGGGGGGTGTAGGAGGGGTTATAGGCTGAGGTGTGACGTCATTTTAGAGGGCGGGGCCTGGCTTTTTGTGATGTGTGACGGAGGGGGGGGGGGGGGAGAGGTAATAATCTTTTAAAAAGCGTGAGGTCATTTATGACATTAAGCAGGATAATTTCTACAAGCATAGCTAGGTTGTTTTTTTTTTTTTTTTTTCTATATGTGTGCAGAGTCCTTTTTAAAGGAATATATGTGCAGAGTCCTTTTAAAAGGACTGTCAGACAGACGAACCAATGCTTCCTTTTATGTATAATGACCTGATTCTGATTATCACTTGACATTGACATGTCATTCAATTGAAGTTGGGTTTTTTGCTGACTCTCTAATAAAGTCTCTAGAAAAAATAAAAAAAGCAAGTGAGCTTCAAATTCTCAATTTCAAATCTGATTGTAAGACAACTTTGATAGGATTTTCATCAAATTTTTTGTTGAAATCTCCATTACTTTAGTCATTAGTGAGAGACTTAGCCTAATGCAAATGTTTAAAAATAGAGCCAGTTCACCAAAAAAATGAAGGGAATTCTTCACATCCTAGTCAACAAATGGAAACTGAATCAGCTGAGTGTGACCAAGTTCTGTTTCAATTTTCAACACTCATAGATACATGTACTCTAAATGGTTGTCTATCTAAATCTAATTGAGAACATGATAGCCTGGACAGTTTTTTCATAGAACAGCTTGGTAGCAAAATTTCTTATGTGAACATTTGGAAAATTGTTAGAGATCTATTGCTTCTGTCACATGGTCAAGCCAGTGTTGAAAGAGGTTTTTCTGAAAATAGAAGTTGGAGGAGTGTCATTTGACACCAAAGATACTGATTGCAAAAGGGATTATGCTGGACTCTCAGACAATCTCCTGACTTAGATAATTTTGTAATAACACCAAAATTATTTCAAAAATTGTGTGTGCAAAAAACATACATCACCCTCATTGTAATGCCCGTTAGTGGTCGTTTATACCTTGAAATTCCCCCCAAAATCACCTTGAAAACCTTGAAAAAGCCTTGAATTTTCTTTTGGGATTTGGCTATGGACCCTGATTTTAGAACAACTTAGCTAAAAACTTAAAAGCTATTTTTTTACATCTAAAATGCAAATATTTTGATTGCTTATTTTCCAGGGAGTTAACTATCAATTTTTGGAGCTGTTTGTTGTCATTTGTATGGGAGCAATAGGTGAGAAATTATTTTATACAAATTTTGTTGTTTTTTATCCAATTTGATATATTTCTAAATTCTATATAAAAGTAATTACAATCAGTTAACAAACACAAACTACAGGTGAGTTTGTAAAGCAAAAAAACAAAAGAATTGAGTATTTTTGTCCTATTTTAAATGTAATTTTGTTGTTTTTAGGTGGATTGTTAGGTGCATTATTTAACCATATCAACCATCGACTAACACTGTTTAGAATGAGGTCAGTCACTACTCTTTTCAAAATAAATTTTCAAATAAAAATTCTAAACATAATTTTGTCACATTTTTAGCTGTTAGTTATGTTTTTGATATATCATGGTCACATTTCCTAAAGACAAAAAATTTTTTTTTTTTTTTTTAAAATCCCAGGAGCGTCCAGAAAAAATGGCAGAAGGTTCTGGAGACAATGATGGTGGCCATGTACACTGCTGCCTTTGCTTACATTCTGATCTTCTTTAGAAATGATTGCAAGCCAATACAAGATAGCACAGAGATCAACCTAGTGCAGGTTAGTTAGTTCAGGCAAGCAAGGGAAGCAAACTCTAAATCACATTTTTGGATCAGCCAGTAGTCCCGTGGTGAAATTAAAGTGTTAAATTGTTAAATAGCCCATATCTGGTACATTTTTTTTCAAACTCTAAATGCAACAATACACACAATTTACATTTTATATTCATTAATTTAAAATATATAAACATTTAAGTCAGAATATTTATTTAAAAAATTTTCCTAAAAGGAATTTGAGTCTAATTTGAAATTACAGTTCATCTCATAGGTCTCATCTGTTTAATTTGGCGACCTCCAGATTATGTTATTGCTACAGCTATTTTTCATTTTTTACTTCTACTACTTTTCTATTCACCATTTGATTTTTACTCCATTATTAATATCCAACTACGTTTTTAAATTTCAGTTTTTTTGTAAAGATGGAGAGTACAGCTCATCAGCAAGGCTATTTTTTGATACACCAGAAGCTACAGTCAAACATTTATTTCATAATGTACCAGGTTAGAAAAAACTTTTAAAAAAAATTAATTCGCAACAACACACTTCACCTGTCATTTAATATAAATTAAAAAACTAAGGAATTTTCAATCTCCTCTTCCAATTAACTATTTAAATATGGTTTCACTTATTGTTTCAGGAACATATCAGATTGTAACTTTGTCCATCTTTGCTAGTGGCTATTTTCTTCTGGCCTGCTGGACATATGGACTGAGCATTCCCAGTGGGTTGTTTATTCCTAGCTTGCTCATTGGCTCAGCTTGGGGCAGAATAGCTGGGATTCTGATGACGTATATCAGAGGAGATCAGGTATGTTGCATGTATTTGTTACATTTACAACCATATGTTGAAGCAAACATTCATACATTTTATAAGTAACTTGCATACCCATAATTTAAAAGCAAGCAATGCTGAGGCTGTCTTGGATATTAGTTGTTGGGGTGTGGGTTATCTACTGCCAGGGTACCTGAAGGCATCCTGTATGAAAAGCTTAAGTGCATGTTGATCACCCTCCTCAATAGCGAGGTACAACACCACTCTGTAACTGCCCAGGTGTCAGGGGTATCGCAGGGTTCTCTCTGGATGCCCTATCAACAAACGTTCTAAAGTAGCCACTTGGGATATTTACATTTTTTTTAAATGTTAGAAACCATAGTAATGCATAGCAGACACACAGAAATACATACTTTCATTTAAATAAACATACAACTAAATAGTTAAACTATAATAAAACTCTTTTATTTCAGAATTTGGTCTCCTTGCCTTTCTATTCATTAGTAGGAGCCTCTTCTATGTTAGGTAATTTTTTGTTTGTTTAGTATAGTCTATTTTAAAGTTTAGAATCTTTAAAAACTTAATGTGGTTGTTGGTGTATTCCTAATTATGTTCTGGTCATATGAAAAACAACTTACTTGAGTAATATAAACATTACTTTAAATAATAATATAAAACACATTTTTAAAATCACTTAAAATTTGTCATTTTATTATTTTGAGAACTAACACTATAAAATAATTTAATAGCAATTAACAGATTACTTTTTTATTGTTTTTTCCAATACTTAACCCAACTGTTTTATAAATATCTATTTTCAGTTCTTCTTTCTAAGCGTTTTCGTCCCACACATACACTATTACTCTTAGCATGATATGTTTTTGACTTTCAAGAACAGACACATTGAAATGATTAAGCACATATAAATGTATAAATAATAATCTCTAAACCATTACTAATCTAGTTAACTATTATTAAACTGACTTAAATACACATACATCAATGAAACTTGCTAACCCATAACTATTCTAGTCTACTTTTTGAAGTGCCCCACTCAACACAAGTTTTTTTTACCGACCTTAAACTTACTAGCATGAGTGTCAGCACTTAACAATCTTAAGTCTAGTATTACTTAAAGTTGCTTGTAAACATTTTAATTTTTTTTTTAGCCATTAACCTTTAGATTAGTACATGTTTTTAGTGGTGTATTATTATTATTATTATTATTATTATAAAAATTCCATAAATATCTAGTAGTAGTTGTTGATTTGTTTAGTAATTTACAAAAAACTTGCTCATATATTTTTAAATGCTGGCCACTTTTCAAAAAAAAATATAAGATCCCATTTTAGGGGGGTTTTAGTGTTTTAAAGCAAATACTTTCAGTGACAGCATTGGTACTGTCGAATTCGAATTCACAAATTATGAATTACTGAAAAGTAGAAAATAAAACTAAATAGCGGTGTGTAATATGGCGCGGGTCGGCTCGTAGCGAATAATGCAACTAAGTTTCTGTTAGAACAGGCTGATCTCCCTTACAAAAAAAAAACCATCTTGTTAAGAAATATGTGGGTGGTAGGGATGGAGAGGCCCAAAAAATGTTTTCTTGGTTTAACCCTAATATAAATAAATAATTTATGATCTTAAGAGTAACACAGCAGCATTATTAAAGCTTTACCAGCTTCAGCATTTGTAAAAACAGTTTCACTTTCTCCAGGAGGTATTGTGCGAATGACAATCAGTCTAACAGTCATCATCATGGAAGCCACTGGTAATGTCCCACTTGGTCTGCCTGTCATGATTTCACTGATTGTGGCCAAATGGGTGGGGGACCAGTTCAACGAGGTAAACAGTTTTTCTGTCCCCTTCATGGATAATGTTGATTTATGTTACTTGTACTTGTAGTAAACTTTTAAAGTTACTAACATCATTTTAGCACTTTTTGGTAAGAATTTGGTGAATTTATTTTAAAAAATTGATAGCTACAATTCACTTATTATGGAGCCTCATGGATAATGTTGATTTTTGTTACTTTTAAAATTTTCTAGATCTAGATTATATTAGCACCTTTGGTAATGGTGAATATAACTGAATTTCACTTATGAAAGAGCCTTTAAATTGGTAATACCTTAACTATAGGTGCATTGTTTATCTGTAGTAGAAGCCTAGCTGCAGACAGGCTAGTTATATGGGTTAATTTGTGTAAAGTTTGGATGTTTTATTTTTACTGTGGAAAAATTGTTTATGTTGATGTATCTTCTGCAGGGAATTTATGATCTCCATATACATCTTCAAGGTGTTCCAATTTTAGGCTGGGAGCCCCTGCCCATGTCAACTAATCTCAGCGCCAAGTGAGTTATCTCCCTTCTCTATTTGTTCTAGTTGTTTTTTTTACACCTCTAGTTCTGTTAAATACAGCTGCACTATAGCTGAATTCCTACACTCTGATTAATAAAAAAATAAAAAACAATCAACTTAATTCTAACTATATAAAACTTACAAATTAAGATGAACTATTTTTATGTTATATAATTATCAGTAACTACAAAAAAAAAGTATTTTTTTCAATCAAAACATTTCATTTCTACCTAATTCAGGGCTGTGATGAGTCATCCTGTGACAGTTTTCCGCATGACTGAACCAGTTGAGCGCATCGTTAAGGTGCTGAAGGAGGAGCCACACAACGGTTTCCCAGTGGTTGATGATTATGACCCTGACTCACCCGTTGTAAGTATCTCATGTCTAATCTGCCATGTTTTATATTCATCTTTTAACTTTAAATTAATTATGTTATAATCATTAAAGCTTGTTTATAAACTGTTGCTTTTTTTAATCAAACCAAACAAAAGATGATGGATGGTTGTGAAACATTTGGTACATTCCGAGGGCTCATCTTAAGAAATCAGCTGATAATGATGCTCAAGAAAAAGGTAAACATTTGTTCTGTTTCTTAATTTTAGACTGCTGATGCTAGTGTATAAGTAAAATTACAATTAGATTCTACTCAAGTTTTAAAACAAAACATTTCTATGTGGACATCTTATTTTTTTACCTGATTAGTTAAGTAGTTCACCTTTTTGTTACATATTGAACAATGAGATTTTAAAAAATGGAATGTTATCGTTTCTGTCCTTGCAGCTGTATAATGAAAACCCTGAGATCCACAGCATAATCAATAACCTGAAGATGGCAGAGTTTAATGAGAGTTACCCAAGATATACCCCAATCCAGGTCAGTTGTTTTTAAAAGCATAAAAATAAAATTCACATTATAAAATATTTGGTTGCTTTCCTGGCTTTAAGTTAAAGTTATTGTTGTATATTTTTTTCAATTCCATAAGTGTATATGTTATCTATACATTTTTACTTTCCATAAATTAAGCTTTATTCATTCCCACTCATAAAATGATACATTTTAATGAATACCATTTTTCAGTTAAAAATTGACATGTAATGCAGCTTTGCATTCCATAAATTTAGATGTAAATGATTTCCCATTCTACAACTTACCTAATAATTTCTCCACTCCACAAATTTGCATTGTTTTACTTCTCTGTATTTTCAGAGAATTAGTATTTCTCCAGAGGAGAAAAAATTTTCTTTGAATTTGGCACCCTTCATCAACCAGTCTCATTATGTGGTTCTTGAGGTAAGTTCCCATGCTTCATATCTTACCACAAGAGGAAGATTTTGTTTTTTAATATTGAAGTTTGCCACTGTTTTAAGGCTAGTGAATTGTTACACACAAACACAACACAATCTAATACCCATTCAAAGTGAGAAATATTTAACACGCATTTTCTTTCTCAGACTGCGTCGTATTCCAGCATCTTCAGGAAATTCCGTTCACTGGGTCTGCGTCACATGGTTGTCATCAACTTTAAGAACCAGGTCATTGGTATTGTGACACGTAAAGATCTGGCTCGCTACATGACAGAGAGTAAGAATGGAGAGATTAGTATACGTGAGAGAACTATTGTCCATTGAGACACTTTACTGGTGTGTAACTATCTAGGTTCATATTAGTTTCTGCTGTTTTACTTGTGCCTGAATCTTTAAAAAGAGCTGATGAATTTTTATCTTCTATTGTGCAGATATCTGAATACAATTGCATAGATATCTAAATTTATCATGTTGATTTATCATGTTGTAGACTTAAAGTTGAGTAGACGCATGTACTATAAATTGTGTAGATAACTTATACATTAAATTGTGCATGTATAAGAATCTGAATGTGTTGAAGATACTGATATATAAAACTTATCTTTAAGGAAGAAGAATGTCATTGTTTTAATCTATTCTGTCTTGTTAGTCTACCTGTAAAACATACCTCCACACATTTACCTGTACTACACACCACATAGCCTTCTACCTGTACTAGCATACCTTCAGTGCATGAGTGTACAGTTTGATAACCTCATTCTCACTCGTTGGTATATTTTGGATTTAGTTACCCATGTACCATAGAAATTCTGTTTGATGTCTGCACAATTTTCATTGTCATGTTGCATTATGTTAAAAATATTTGATGAATCTAGAGTTAAAAGATCACATTGTTTCATGTAAATGTTCAGCATATAAAAAAATCATGCTTGTAAGGAGTTACAAATATCTTACTGATGCCATGATGATCTTTTTCATGAGATTATATACAAGCAGAAAGTCCATGTTGAAGGGTAACTTGTACAAATGTTTGTAACTGTAATGTTATACTTTTTTAAAACAATTTTTCTTTAAAATGTTGTAGTTTTAGCATCACTTTTTTTTAAATTTAAAAAGAAAAAAAAAAGAAACTTTTATAGTTAATATCATGTAATTTATTTTAACTGTGTGATGTATGATGTGATCAAACATTTAACTGACAAAAAACGCAACTTGTACATACTTAACACTAAACTTGTAAAGTCAGTTTGATAAAAAAACAATCTAAGACCTGACTACAGGTTTTGTGCGAGTATACTGGTTTTTAACTGCTAGTTGTGTTGTAAGCATATTTGTGACCCTCCACCACATTTTGGTATCTTTGCACCTGGGGCTAATTTTGAGTTTTTTTAGCTGTCCATAAAAACGAATTTTAATGATGAAACCATGTTGAAATTGGACTCGTCTAGTTTTAAGAGAAACTTGTGAGTTGCAAAGTACCATATTTTAGTCACTTAGGGTCATTTTTTTTTTGTAGATATTTTTCTAGTCTTTCAAACAGAAGTATTTGTTGTAAAAAATTTTTTGTATGGCAAACCAAATATACAATATATTATTGTAAAAAATTCTATACATGCTGTCAACGATATTATTTTATCAACAATGCAATTGTTCAATGTTTTTTTAAAAAAAATATTTTTCTAACTTGCGCATCAAACTTCTGTGTCCAAACTGGCCAATCAAATCCTGTGTATGAAATTGTATTGCTCCCCCCTCCCCTTCTGTTCACTTACTGAACAAGATGAACTGTTTACTTTTGTCTCGCATATGTAATCTTTACCTCTGTTTTTTATAGACTTTTTAAATCTATTGTGAAATTGTCATTTCTTGATTTTTTTCTAAATATTTTTCAAAAGTTGTTTTCATTTATTTCTTTTTTCTATATCAATCAACTTAAAAACATGCTCACAACAATAATGGTGAAAAATGAAATGAGGACTTGTGATAGAGATGACCCTATGCTATTTTGTGTATGAGAGTGTGTACATTTGAGGCATGTAGCTAGTGTTAAAAAATGTGGAAATCAATTTTTTTTAAAATTATCTGTATGTGAAATGTGAACAACTATAGTTGGTAAAGGTTGATTAAAGAGTTGATATTTTAAGATACAAATTGTGCATGTTCCTAAGTTAGATGTTCAACATGTTATGAGTTAATGTTGTAGTTATTTGTTCAGAGATGTTTTCATGGGATGGTGAGCAGATGTTGGCATACCTGATGGTTAACATGCTAGGGGGTTGACACAGCTGAGGGTTGACATACTATTGGGTTGACATACTAGTGGGTTGACATGCTAGTGGGTTGACATGCTAGTGGGTTGACATAGCTGAGGGTTGACATACTATTGGGTTGACACGCTAGTGGGTTGACATACTATTGGGTTGACACGCTAGTGGGTTGACACGCTAGTGGGTTGACATACTAGTGGGTTGACATACTAGTGCATTGACAAACTAGCTAGTTGGTTGACACAGCTGAGGGTTGACATAAAAGTGGGTTGACATGCTAGTGGGTTGACATAAGTGGTTTGACATACTAGTGGTTTGACATACTAGTGGGTTGACATACTAGTGGGTTGACATGCTAGTGGGTTGACACACTAGTGGGTTGACATGCTAGTGGGTTGACACAGCTGATGGTTGACATACTAGTGGGTTGACATGCTAGTGGGTTGACATGCTAGTGGGTTGACATTATAGTGGGTTGACACACTAGTGGGTTGACACAGCTGATGGTTGACATACTAGTGGGTTGGCATACTAGTGGGTTGACACAGCTGATGGTTGACATGCTAGTGGGTTGACATGCTAGTGGGTTGGCATACTAGTGGGTTGGCATTCTAGTGGGTTGACATACTAGTGGGTTGACACAGCTGAGGTTTGACTTGCTAGTGGGTTGACACAGCTGAGGGTTGACACAGCTGATGGTTGACATACTAGTGGGTTGACACAGCTGAGGGTTGACATGCTAGTGGGTTGACATGCTAGTGGGTTGACACAGCTGAGGGTTGACACAGCTGATGGTTGACATACTAGTGGGTTGGCATACTAGTGGGTTGACATGCTAGTGGGTTGGCATACTAGTGGGTTGACATGCTAGTGGGTTGGCATACTAGTGGGTTGACATGCTAGTGGGTTGGCATACTAGTGGGTTGACATGCTAGTGGGTTGGCATACTAGTGGGTTGACATGCTAGTGGGTTGACATGCTAGTGGGTTGGCATACTAGTGGGTTGACATGCTAGTGGGTTGACACAGCTGATGGTTGACATGCTAGTGGGTTGACATGCTAGTGGGTTGACATGCTAGTGGGTTGACACAGCTGATGGTTGACATGCTAGTGGGTTGACACAAATGAGGGTTGACATGCTAGGGGGTTGACATGCTAGTGGGTTGACACAGCTGATGGTTGACACGCTAGTGGGTTGACACACTAGTGGGTTGACACATAAGTGGGTTGACACAGCTGAGGGTTGACATGCTAGTGGGTTGACACAGCTGATGGTTGACATACTAGTGGGTTGACACAAATGAGGGTTGACATGCTAGGGGGTTGACATGCTAGTGGGTTGACACACTAGTGGGTTGACACACTAGAGGGTTGACACAGCTGATGGTTGACATGCTAGTGGGTTGACACATAAGTGGGTTGACACAGCTGATGGTTGACATGCTAGTGGGTTGACATACCGGAGGGTTAACATGCTGAGAGTAGATATGATGTGGTTGACCTGACCCTAGGGTTAAAACCCTGTACAAAAGCCTTATTTGAATCTGGTTCCAAATACTTGAGTATGATCATCTTGATGTTAAGTAAGTAGGCAGCTAGCCCTTACTTTTGACAATCTTCCTATTTGTTGTCTTAAATTATATAGCTTGTTCCTTGCAGTGTTAAAGGAAATATTCTATTACATATTAGACTCTTATTATATATTCAAATCACATTCCTTAGCAAAAACTTGGATATACAAAAATAAAACTGCAGAAGTAGAACTAAAATAAATGTGTTAATTCATTCTTCAGAATGTATGACAGGTATTTTCAAAACAAAAATTCTACAGGTATTAAGGAGAAATTTAGAGGGACCGCGGCTTATATTATATCTAAAGAAAGTAAAGTTGTATTATTCCTCCCATTTGCATTTTTAGAAGTATTTTAGTTACAAAGGTATGTAGAGTTTTAAATGCTCATATCCAATTAAATGCTGAAAAGTTTGAAGGACGCAGTTTTGAAATGTAAAATCTTTATAAGGTATATATCAAAAAAAGCAAAAAAAAAAGTCTTTAAAAATGAAACTTAAATAAGAAAAGCAAATAAAACTCTTTAAATTGTCATTTTGATTTATTTTTATTGTGATTTATTTCTCCGATTTATCAACCATCTTGGTTTATTTCTCCTACTAATTTATTTTACGCTTCATCACAGACTGTTGACAGTTGTATTGATGTCTTGCCTACCACAGACATTTTTTTATATTTATGTCTACAAAAGATTTGTATTTGGTGTATAAAAGATTTTTATAAGAACATTTGAATAAACAATTCATTACTGGTGATAAAAAGTGTTACATATGTGTGGACAAATGGTGTTAAGGATGTGTGGTGTGATGATGTTTGTGATGTGTGGTGTGATGGTGTTTGGGATGTGTGGTAATATGGTGTTTGGGATGTGTGGGGAGATGGTGTTTGGGATGTGTGGGGAGATGGTGTTTGGGATGTGTGGTGAGATGGTGTTTGGGATGTGTGGTGAGATGGTGTTTGGGATGTGTGGGGAGATGGTGTTAAGGATGTGTGGTGAGGTGGTGTTTGGGATGTGTGGTGATATGGTGTTAAGGTTGTGTTGTCAGATGTTGTTAAGGATGTGTGGTGAGGTGGTGTTTGGGATGTGTGGTGTGATGGTGTTTTGGATGTGTAATGAGATGGTGTTTGGGATGTGTGGGGAGATGGTGTTTGGGATGTGTAGGGAGATGGTGTTTGGGATGTGTGGTGATATGGTGTTAAGGTTGTGTTGTCAGATGTTGTTAAGGATGTGTGGTGAGGTGGTGTTTGGGATGTGTGGTGTGATGGTGTTTGGGATGTGTGGTGTGATGGTGTTTGGGATGTGTGGTGAGATGGTGTTTGGGATGTGTGGTGAGATGGTGTTTGGGATGTGTGGTGTGATGGTGTTTGGGATGTGTGGGGAGATGGTGTTTGGGATGTGTGGTGAGATGGTGTTTGGGATGTGTGGTAAGATGATGTTTGGAATGTGTGGTGAGATGATGTTTGTGATGTGTGGTGAGGTGGTGTTTGGGATGTGTGGTGTGATTGTGTTTGGGATGTGTGGTGAGGTGGTGTTTGGGATGTGTGGTGTGATGGTGTTTGGGATGTGTGGTGTGATGGTGTTTGGGATGTGTGGTGAGATGGTGTTTGGGATGTGTGGTGAGATGGTGTTTGGGATGTGTGGTGAGGTGGTGTTTGGGATGTGTGGTGTGATGGTGTTTGGGATGTGTGGTGTGATGGTGTTTGGGATGTGTAATGAGATGGTGTTTGGGATGTGTGGGGAGATGGTGTTTGGGATGTGTGGTGTGATGGTGTTAAGATTGTGTGGTGAGATGGTGTTTGGGATGTGTGGGGAGATGGTGTTTGGGATGTGTGGTGAGATGGTGTTAAGATTGTGTGGGGAGATGGTGTTTAGGATGTGTGGTGTGATGGTGTTTGAGATGTGCGGTGAGACGGTATTTGAGTTTTGTGGTGTGATTGTGTTTGGGATGTGTGGTGAGATGTTGTTAAGGATGTGTGGTGAGATGGTGTTGATGATGTGTGGTGATATGATATTGAACATGTATGGTGAGATGGTAAACACAACAACCGTGGGCATGGAGACAATTTTTTAAATTTAGAAATAGCGCGTGAAGCTATAGAGGGGTGCAACGCCTAGTCAATAATTTCCTTTTCTGTTATAGTCGTTAAGAAAAAACAACAAATACCCTATTCCCTTGCCAGGAATGACGATAATGACTCAGTAGCGTAGCGAGGGGGGGGGGGAGGGGGGGGGACATATGTCCGCGGGCGCCGACCTTAGGGGGCGCCAAAATGGGTTGCAAAAATAAATTGAAAGGTTGAGGGGCGTGCAAATCGAAATTTGAGGGGGGGGGGTGCAAATATCGAAATCTCGAGGGGGGGTGCAAAACGAAATCTCGAGGGGGGGGGGTGCAAATCGAAAGTTTGAGGGGGGTGGTGCAAATCGAAAAGTTTGTCCCCGGGCGCCGGGAAGGGTCGCTACGCCTCTGTAATGACTCCCTAGTCAAATCCTCTAAACGGGTATGACGTCGTTTTATTAACAATCCTTTAACTCTAAGTGGAATAAGCAAACTGCGTCATAAAACACGTGACTTGGCGGACACTTTTTGTGACCAAGAAACTTATGTTTGATGTAGGTTAAATTACATATTTGTTTCCTAACTGTTCTAAAAAAAAATCTTAAAAATAGAACTGTAACATAATTAAATTTGTAGCCCAAGTACGACTTGAAGTTTGAATGAAACATTTTTAAATTTAAAAATAGTGTTTAGAGATAATGTAGTTCAAGAATGTATGCTCAAGAGTCACGCTAGAACTCTTCAGAAAGAAAAGAAAAAAAACTTCAAAGAAAAAGGTATCAATGATGAGTATGCCTATCATTTATTATTCACGAATATTTAGTGCAGGTGTGCGCGCGCATCACTTTGTAAATTCACGCATGTCTAGATTAAATAATGAAAAAAAAAACACCCAAGTAACAATGGTCTAATTATCAAACATTTTACAAACAAATTAATCTACAAGCACTAGTCATAATCTTTCCTCTTCCCCCACTTAAAGGGTTACAAAAACCTGCCGTGACGTAATGGACAATCACGTTCCAGCACTCAGAGCACCACGTAAACAAACAGGACAGACGAAACAGCTTTAAAAGCACCGTCATCCGGCCATGCCGCGCCACGGCTAGCGTCCTGGTAACATGAGAGTGATCTTATCTTGTGCTGGTCGCAAACAACTGTTCTGCTCTCTCTGGCTTGCCGGGAATTATACAAAATCCGGATCTATCTGGTACGTAGAAAACAAAAGTTTTAAAAGGGAAGTGTTTACCAAAATACTGTTTAAGCGTTGGAAGTGGATTATGGAATTGAGATCTTGTTTACATGTAGGCCTATCAGTAAAGTCTTATTTACCATTGTTTCACATGCAGGTCATCTGCAGACCAGTGCTTCTTTCAGACATTTTCCTCCGGGAAGGGGGGGGGGGGGTACTTGAAACTTTAGTGGGTAGGGGGTGGGGGCGGACTAAATTTTCTAGCGGTGGACACGGTAGAAGTATATATTTTGAATATAGATTCTATTTCGTTCGGGGTGAGGGGGGGGGGGAGCCGCCAAAACATAAATAAACCCCCAAGATGCACTGCTTTAAAACTGGGTTCCATGCTGTGTTCTCAGTGAAAAGGACAAAGTGGCATGACGAAAAAATAAAATCTGGCTAACCAATAGAAGCACTAATAT